GTAACAGAAGCAGTAAGTTCTGAGTCACAGAGCTAGTAACTGAGGAAGCCAAGGTTGAATGCACAGCCTGGCAGTCAGCTCTCCACCCATACTCCACCTGATGTGCTCAGTCAGGTGCACATCACTGCACATGACGGCTGACAGTAATTCTCAACAAAGAGCGGTGGATGAGTGAAGAACCCAATGGCTGAAAGATAAGGATTATATGACAATATTGTATGTATCTAATTTATACAACATCTCCAAGAAATTAGATATTGCATAGATGTTAATTTTCTAGCTAATTAAAGTTATTCCTTTTGGTCTCCTTATCTCAGGCTATTGTTTATCTTCTGTGATTGGTGAGATTTTGTTTAATCATCCAGGGGTTTAAAAACTTTTTTGTGTTATAAAGTAAGAACTCTGGGGGTGCCTGAGTGGCTCAGGTGCTTAAGTGTTCGACTCTTGATTTCAGCTCAGGTCATGATCTCACAGTTTGTGAGTTCGGGCTCAGGGTGCACAGCGTGGAGCCTGCTTGGGATTCTGTCTCTCCCTTTCTCTGCCCTGCTCTCTCTCTTTCTCTTTTTCTATGTCTCTCTCTCTCAAAAACAAATAAACTGAAAAAAAAGTAAGAACTCTGTTTTAACCAAAAAATATTTTTAAATGAAATATCTCTAAATTCAATCTTGTATTTTCCAGCCTGATTAAGTAGTTCGTGGCATATGACTCAACCTTTTCTTAATGTTTAGGGAGATCACTATGATTAAAAAATAGTAAGCCATAATATGAGCCTGTGATGTCCCGAGGCTTTCAACATCCATAAGATTTATTAGCATCCACTAAGTACCACGGATCGTACTAGGCACTTTCAAGTTCAGTTCCTTAATTAATTGTCTAGGCCTAAGATTTGCCTTGCCCTTTTTTTAAACCCTTGTTTCTATTTCTGGAAGTTTCTTCAGTCTTCTTGGCTACTGTAGAGCAGTAATCGAGCACTTCTTGCTCTCAGTCTGCTGTTCCCAGCAGGAGACCACCCTGCTTCTAGTTGACTATTTTCGATGAGCTGTGGGGGAGATTTGGGTAACCAGACTTGTCTGTGTGATTATTAAAACCCCTCTCCTTGCACTGTGGCCTCCCTGTGGTTTCCAGAAGACAGGAGCTTGGGAGGGGAAACATTTTGGGTTTCCTCCATCAGTTGCTGTTCTGACAGGGAGCCCTCCCCTCCACCATCCCTTCCCTTGGCCTCTGCAGGGCAGGAGGCCACTTCTGCTAGCCAATGGCACTGGGTCCCTTCAGTTAGAACACAGGCCATGTGTCAGTCATGCCTCAGGGTGACCGGGGGCTGCGGGAAGTCATGTGGTTCGCGGTGAGTGACCTGACATGGCCCCTTGCTGCCTGCCAAGGGAATGAAGTATTTTTATAGTTTGGTAATCCTTGCTTTGAACTTTTGAAATTTATTGAGAAAACAAGTCACGTTATAGTGCTTCAAGTGATTGGAGCCTCTGTGATCGATTTCCCTTTAAAACAGTAGGTTCTTACGGGCTAAGCAATAAAGAAAACATTTAAAAAGTCATCTCCAGAGTCAGTAAACCCAAGCAAACGTAAATGAAGCAGGCTCTAGGCTTGGAAATATTCAGGCCATCTGAATAATTGTTCATGACATCTGGGTTCAGTGAAAAAAATGTTAAAAGCCTTAGCAAGGTTACCAGTTTTCGTTACTCAGAAAACTTGGCAAAGTTGATCCCTGGGCTTCTGTACCTGGGTTGGGTCCCAGCTCTTGGCTCCTTGGCCTGGCTTTCTTTGAGGGCAAGTTTGAGGGCAAGTTGGTTTTCACCCTGGGGTCACCTTTTCTGTTTCTAGTTCCTTAGTGGTCAGCAAGGCCACCGTAGGGTTCTGGGCCGCAAATACAAAGAGCTATGCCTAGAAAAGGTTGTCCCCCTCCCCCTCACTACAGGGAGGCTCTGGGACTCACCAGTGGGGAGGGGTGCCCCTCTCTTTGGGCAGAAACCTTGGTGGAGGCAGGGGTTTCCCTTGAAATGTCCTCCTCCAGCGCTAACATGTCACTTTGCATTCACTTATGTGTAGAGTCCTGAAAAACCTCGGTCGTGGAGTCAGGTGACCAGAATTCCACACCTGGTCCCGACACTTGCTGGGGAGTCCTGGGCTAATTTATCTGAGTCTCTGTTTTCTTACCTATCAAAGGCTTGGGTTGTGATTTCTACGTAAGGGTCTTTGGTTACAAGCAAGACAAACTACCTCTGGCTAATTTAAATGAAAAGGGGATTTATTTGAAGGCCGTAAAGGGGCTTACAGATTCCACACAGCAGCTGGGAAGACAGGGACAGGGGCCAGGACAGCTTTACAGGTCCACGTCACAGGAGTGCATGGCTCATTGTGTGTGCCCCATGGCCAGAGGAAGCTGTCTTTCTACCGTGTTTTGCATCGTTTTTTTAAGCTTACTTATTTTGAGAGAGACAGAGACAGCGCGAGTGGGGGAGGGACTGCCCTCACCCCTGTACTGCCAGCACAGAGCCCCAACGTGAGGCTCAAACCCATGAAACTGTGAGATCATGACCTGAGCCGAAACCAAGAGTCGGCTGCCTAACCGACTGAGCCATCTATGCACCCCAAATGTGTTTCGCATCTTAAGGCCTCTGTGCTCAGGATCAGAGCCCAAGGGAATGGAACTGGTCCCGCTTGGATCTCACGGTACCGCCCAGTGCCGGCGAGGAAGGACAACAGGGCTCTGAGTAGAAGAAAAGGAAATGAATGCACGTCAGGCAACCAGGTTTCATTCTGCAGACATTTATTAAGCACCTTTTAAGGGAGGCCATGTGATACAGTAGGAAGAGCACTGTGTGTGATTTAGAAGACTTATCTTCAAGTTCTGACTCTTGTGATGCCCCTCTGTGCCCTGTGTTTCCATATCGCTAAAAGTGGGGCCAAAGTGCTTTCTCTGTGCCACAGGTTCGCTGTAAGGTCTGAATGGAATCAGATGAAATCGTGTGGTTAAATCCTTTGAGTTGCTATGTGGGGTCAGATATTTATCTATTACACATAGCTTGGTACTTAGTGATGAAGAGAAAGGATACCTGTTTTGATGCATATATGTGTATATGTTTGCTTCTTATTTGCTTGTCTATTTTTATTTTAAATTCTGGAAATTGAGGTATGCAATTGAGGCATCAAGACAATTCCTTCATAGTCTAAATGATGTCATTAAGTAGTTTATAACTCTGAGCCAAAGATGTGGCACAGAGAGCCTGCTCTGCAGGTGTTTGGGGGTGAGGTTATGGTCAGGGAAGGCCTTGGGGAAGGTGGAGGGTAGCCTTTGTACCTTTGTCAGAATTATAAACTCTTATAGATTAGCCCTGTCCCATAGAAATATAATGTATTTAAGAAATACATTTCTAAAGAAATGTATAGAAATATATGTAATTAAGATTTTTCCAGTAGCCACAACAACAACAACAAAAAGGCAAAAAGAAACAGATGTAATTAATATGAATGATATATTTTTATTTTACCCATTGTATTAAAGGGTATCCTATTATACTGTTATTTATATACTGTTATTTAGGGGTACCTGGGTGGCTCAGTCGGTTAAGCATCCGGCTCTTTATCTTGGCTCAGGTCAAGATCTCACAGTTTCTGGGATTGAGCCCTGCGTTGGGCTCTGCCCTGATAGTGAAGAGCCTGCTTGAAGTTCTCTCTCTCCTTCTCTTTCTGCCCCTCCCCAGCGCTCTGTCTCTGTCTCTCAAATTAAAGAAATACACTTAAAAAAATAAAAAATAAAATAGTATCATTTCAAAACAGGTAATCAATATAAAAAAATTAAGATTATTTTACATTCCTTTTTGTATGCTGTTTTTGAAATCTAATGTGTATTTTACCCTTACAACACATCTCAGTTTCGATATAAGCCACAGTTCAAGGGCTTAGCAGACACATGGCAACTGGGTCAGACAGCCTGGCCCTAGACAGAACAGGAAGAAGAAGAGGTAAGCAGCAGAGGGAGAGAAGCAGTCGACACAGGAATTTAGTGAACATCTACGATGGACCAGGCAGGGCCAAGGCGAGCGTAAACCATTTGGTGAACAAACTATCAGGTCCTGTTTTTATTTTGAAGTTTGATATTTTGTTCAGCGTGAATGTTTTTGCATTAATTTTGATTTTTAAAAATGCACTGCACTATGATGTACCTTCATTACTGAGTGTTCTGGCACCTCTTACATTTTGCGCACAAGGCAAGTGCCTCACATCCTCCTTACCCTAGTGATGCCCTGGCTCCTGGTCATTCTGTGAACTTTCTAATACCTTGTCTGGGGGCATGAACCTGAACCAGACTGAACTGTGTACTAGAGAAAGGAGTGAACTCCTCTAACATACTAAGTCTTGGGCATTTATTTTGTTAAATGAATTTTTAACTGAATGCAAGTTAGAAATAAAAAGACTTTGGAAAAGAAATTGAAATTCAAACTGATCTATGAACTGAAAAATTTGAAGCTATTTTGGGAGCCAGCTGTCACTCCAGAGAGAGTTCAATGGCCTTGATTCCCTGGTCGTGGTGACCCTTGACCGTTGCAGTTCCCAAATTGTAGGGGGAAAGCATGAAAAGGCCAGTGGTGAGGGACTGTATCCTAGGCCTGATTTCCTTCCTACATGCTGACTTTACTCTCTAGTTGTTAAGGAATCAGTATCTGTAAGCTCTCTAGAAAATGATTCTAATGGGAATGTTATATTGAAAATAACTTCCATGCTAGAAGGTAAATCTTGCTTTTTTTTTTTTAATGTTTATTTATTTTGAGAGAGAGAGCAAGTAGGGCTGGGGCAGAGGGAGAGGGAGAATCTCAAGCAGGTTCCGTGCTGTCAGGGCAGAGCCTGATGCAGGGCTCAATCTCACGAACCGCAGGATCATGACCTGACCCAAAATCAAGAGTTGGACGTTTAACTGTCTGAGCCACCCAGGAGCCCCTTGCTTTTTAAAGTGGTGCCTATTTTCAAACAGAATCCTTTTCTTTTAGGGAACTTCGAAACAAAGCAGATATTCAATTTGGAGATAATGGAACAACAATATCCGCTGTTAACAACAAGTTCTATGTTTTTGAACGAAATCAATCTGTTGGAGATCCTAAAATTGACTTAATTAGAACATTAAATATTCCTGCAGTGGTAAGTAGGCATTTTTAGTATCATTATTGTGGTTTGTAGAAGAAAAAAAAAAAAGCTAAGTTAAAGCTGCTATGGCTTTTTTACATCTAGGAGTTACTAAGTTATGTCAAAAATATACAAATGTGAAAATATACATTTTTACACTTCCCTTCCTGAAAGTTCATCTAAGACATTTTATTCTGAGATTTCTCAAGCAAGATCTTTTCAAATGGTGACAAAAGGCAGATTATAGGATTCCCCTCCCCCCCTCCACAGTTTCTTGCTGTGTCTTGGTGATCAGTTCTTGTCCAAATAAACATGTCCCTAGGATTTGGCGGCGGCGGGGGGGGGGGGGGGGGGGGGGGGGGGAGAGAGGATAGCCAATAATTTTTCAAAGATTTATTTGCCCCTTGTTTTGGCTCAGAAAATCTAGCAACAGAATTTGCATACCACTTCCTAGTTTAGATTTCCATCTTTGATTTTTAAATTCTTCAAATACATACTGATTCCTCCCACCCCCTTTCCAAATAGAGGCTGGGCTGCTGATTCTGGATTTCACTGTCTGTGTTCTGACAATCCCATCCAAGAAAGACATAGGAGCCCCTGAAAACTTTCCTCTTCACCTCCAGCAACCCCCTATGGAGCTCCCACTCTAACTACAGGGTGACAACGACATACGCAGCTGGACACTCATGGTAGACTCAGGACGTAGAAAGTATTAGATCCTACGTTTGGTCTACTTGTGGAGGGGGGGCGGGGGAGGGCGGGCAACCTCTGGCTCCGATCAGAGGGGAAGTGGCACCCTCTTGTGGCTAAAGATGCTAGTGTATTTACAAGCTTTCTCTCATTGCAAATGCAGTGCAGGGACAATTGAACAGCTGCCAGTGGGAACGCTAAGTTCATGCTTACAAAGTAGAATACTGAGAAAGGACAAGAGCTGTAGAATCTTATTTGTGCACGCGTAGCCACATTTTGCAGCTATTTAGTCCTAACATTGACTTTGACGTTTCCAGCCCTTTTTGCTGAAGGGGCCATAAGAGAGTGGGCGGGAACTGTGCTCTGAACTTGCCTGTGTTTCTCAGACTGCCATGGAATGGGCCCGGCTCAGCTTCCTCCAGAAGTTCATCGAGGCCCTGCTGAAGGCCTATCAGCAGTCGCTGTTTGTGACACACACCGTGGACGAACTGCTCTGGGGCTACAAAGATGAGATCCTGTCCCTCATCAGTGTTTTCAAACCGGAGATCTCGCCCTATTTTGGCCTGTACTATGGGGTAAGGTGATCTTTCTTTTTAGAGCCCTTTTTTTTTTTTTGAGGGATTGTGCATGCGCAAGCGGGGAAGGAGCAGAGGGGAGAGAAGGAACCTTAAATAGGGGTTGAACCCACATGGGGTTCAATCCCACGACCTTGGAATTATAACCTGAGCTGAAGTCAAGAGTCCCGTGCTCAACCTACTAAACCACCCAGGCGCCCAGATTCTCTTTATTCAGGTGAGGGAGGGGCACTGCTAGCCAGATTTTATCTTCACTTTGGGTTTCTTCCAGAAGACCAAAAATTGCCTGGAATTCTAGATATCCTGTACAGTATATGAAAAAGAAGGAAGTGTTCTAGTTTTTAGGGGGAAAAACCCTTCTCCCACAATTTCAGCATGCCACCAGCAGTGACTTTCAATGAGGGCAGCTATGAAAAATACATAGAGGATGACTGTGCCATTAACCAGGTGCGATCTTTCAAAACTATCATAAATTTCAGTGATAGGTGCCAAGTCTTCGTTGATGACTCAGGGGCTAAACCCATTCATCAGCCTGACAGAGACAAGTAAGAAACTAAGTAGGAACATGATAGTCCGTTAGGGATGGGAGCCACCTGTTAGATTTTTCAGACGTGTCATTTATGAAGGAGGATGGATAATTTGAAACTCTGTGTCCCTCATCTATGATTTCTTATGCTTATAATGAAATTTTGTGTGGTTCCTTGCAGATTTTATTCACTTTGGCTTGAAATAAAAAATATATTAGCATTCAAGTATTTATTATCCAAAGCATATGTTATTGCTGTCTAAGTTTCAAATGAATTAAAATTAAAACAGTTTTTAAAATCTACGTTCCCATATATCTCCCCTCCCCACCCCCCACCCCCGACCAAGAAACAAAAAAGAGAAAGCACTTGAGTAAAATGGATACTGTTTGGGAGGTTGCTAATGACAAACTTAAACTCAAGAAGAACGTTTTAGATTAAGGGTGGGTTCTGAGACTGTGATGAATTTCCTCACCTTTCAATTTGTTGTTATTCTCTGGTTTTCACTACTCAAGAATCTTACCCTTATCTCCGAGAATGTTCCTCTACAGCAGATGGTGATAATGCTTCCCCTGTGCATGCAAGGGTATACAAAACCTAGAAACCATTCAAACAAAATAATAAAAAGTTCTTAACATTATTTATACAAGAGGTGGGGGTCCTAGAAATAGGGCTCAACTGACCCTGAATCCTTCCCCCTAGGGAGGTAGAATTGATAGATGCTTTCTAGAAGATCCCATCTGGGGGCGCCTGGGTGGCTCAGTCAGTTAAGCTTTCAACTTTGGCTCAGGTCATGATCTCACAGTTGGCGAGTTCAAGTCCTGCATGGGGCTCTATCGGTAGCTCAGAGCCTGGAGCCCACTTCGGGTTCTGTCTCCCCCTCTGCCCGTCCTCTATCTCTCTCTCAAAAGTAAACATTAAAAAAAATTTAGAAGATCCCATCTGAAAGGAGCCCAGCTTCCATAAGACCAGAGGAAGCACTGATTTTTTTTAATTTTTATTTTTTAATGTTTTATTTATTTCTGAGAGAGAGAGAGAGAGACAGCTTGAGCAGGAGAGAGTCAGAGAGAGAGGGAGATACAGAACCCAAAGCAGGCTACAAGGCTCTGAGCTAGCTGTCAGCACAGAGCCCGACATGGGGCTCAGACCCACGAACCATGTGATCATGACCTGAGCCGAAGTTGGACGCTTAACCAACTGAGCCACCTAGGTGCCCCAACACTGATTACCCTTAAGCTGTGACTAGACGACCCTTCTAGAAAAAAATGTCAGGTGAATTTCCAACAGAGATACAACAAAGGTTACCTTAAGACCCTTTGGGTCCAAGTGGTTTCTGTCTACCTGCAAGGTAGATCCTGTTCCTAAAACCTCTGTATTTTTCAGGTAATTTTCATTGTACAGCTTGTTTTTTTGTTGTTGTTGTTTTTACATCATTGACTTCATCAGACTTACAACTAAAAGCCTTTTAGGGGCACCTGGGTGGCTCATTCGGTTAAGCGTCTGACTCTGGCTTAGGTCAGATCTCATGGTTTGTGGGTTCGAGCCCTGCATCAGGCTCTGTGCTGACAGCTCAGAGCCTGGAGCCTGTTTTGGATTCTGTGTCTCCCTCTCTCTCGTCCCTCCCCCACTCATGCTCTGTCTCTCACTGTCTCAAAAAATAAATAAACTATAAAAAAAGTTTTTTTTTAAAAAAAGAGCCTTTTACATCTTTTTAAAATGTAACCCACCTTTATGGACTGGTTAAGAAATTGGCATTTTGGGGGCGCTTGGGTGGCTTAGTCGGTTAAGCATCTGACTTTCGCTTAGGTCATGATCTCGTGGTTCGTGGGTTCGAGCCCCGCATCGGGCTCTGTGCTGACTGCCAGCTCAGATCCTGGAGCCTGTTTCAGAGTGTGTATCTCTCTCTCTCTGACCCTCCCCTGCTCACGCTGTCTCTCTCTCTCTCCTAGAAAGAAAGAAAGAAAGAAAGAAAGAAAGAAAGAAAGAAAGAAAGAAAGAAATTGGCATTTTTATTTTCCCAAGATTGTTTTATGTATTTATTTATTTGTTCATCTCTCTGCCCTTGTCCTTTGTCACTCCATGTAGATGCCATATCTCCACAAAGCCCTGTACCATTGCTCAGTTAGATTAGTACCTTGAGTGCATTTGCCACATCCAGGAATAGAGCATAAGACTTGAAATCAGAGAGCCTAGATTTATGTTCTGACTTTTTCACTTAGTAACTGTGGGGCTATATTTCTGAACCTCCATTTCATATTTCATCATGTATAACTTGAGGCTAAAAGTATCCACACTTCAAAAGTTGTTTTGAAAGGCTAAGTGAGAAGTCCATAAAAATGCTTTGCATACTGTAAATCACAGTACACATGTCAGGAACTGTTATTCATTTTTCTCTTTGTGACTGGCCCCCAAGATGATGCCGAATTAACATGAATGACTGCTGTCGGGGCGCCTGGGTGGCTGAGTCGGTTAGGCGGCCAACTTCAGCTCAGGTCATGATTTCACGGCCTGTGGGTTTGAGCCCTGTGTTGGGCTCTGTGCTGACAGCTCAGAGCCTGGAGCCTGTTTCAGATTCTGTGTTTCCCTCTCTCTCTGCCCCTTCCCAGGTCGTGCTCTGTCTCTCTCTGTCTCAAAAATAAATAAACGTTAAAAAAAATAACATGAATGACTGCTATATCTTTTCCATTTGGCATCCAAACTGTCTGAGTGTAGTTGGTAAAAAGGCAGTGTTTCTGTTCAGTTGGTCATCTGCTCCGGGTCAAATACTGATTCTTCAGCCAATGGCACAGGACGTTCGCACTTGAGCTGTCATTCATTCAAAGACCAGGATAGGCAGGGGGCGCACTCCTTCTGAGAGTCTTTCCTGAATCCTGCTGGCGTCATGCCATCCTCCCCCTCGGATGCACCAGGCTTGCAAGCCTGCCCACCTGCTCCACTACACGCGATGAAGATTAAACCTTGGTTAAGGCATGAACACTTTTTCTTCAAAGACTCTAGTATGAAACAACCAATTAATGGGGAGGGACAGGGTATGAGAATGTACAAGATGAGTGAATGTAGAACATTGGCACAGAGTTTCTGAGAAAAAGGGACCTGGTTAACTATCACATGCTCATATTTCTTATTGTGGGGCCAATCAGCATATTTTTACCCATTGATTTTAGGGCACCTCTGTTCTCCTCCACATAAGAGAGTTCAAGCACCTCCCACTAAGTGTGGGTTCTCGTGTGTGTAAAATATATAGTTTTTAGAAAGTGTCTTTGAGAGGTCAGCCTGTCCAGCTTGTCCTTCGGTGGAGGGGATAGGGTTATGCTTACATTACACTAGTGGCGTGACTGTAGTAGCCTGTCTCAGAGCACCTCTCCCTCTCCTGTCGTAATATGTCCCTTGTATCCAGCCCACATCCCTACCCTGAGAACACAAACTCTATTTATTCCCGATTGTCCTCCACTAACAAAGGTTCCGATGAGAGACAGGGAAGCATTCACATGCAGTGCCTGACTCTTGGCAGAAAACAACTGGAGAGAACCCTTTCTGAATTACTGTGAAACATGTAAATGCTTAACTACTTTGCTTAGGCTAGATCTGAGTTAAGTAGAGGACTTCAGGAAATAATATCCATTCATTTTTAAAATTGGTGGTTCAGCATTTTTTAAAGTTTATTTATTTTGAGAGAGAGAGAGAGAGAGAGAGAGGGAAGGCAGGAGAGGGGCAGAGAGAGGGGGGAGAGGGAGAGAGACAATCCCAAGCAGGCTTTGCACTGTCAGTGCAGAACAAGACGTGGGGCTAGAACTCACGAACCATGAGATCATGACCTGAGCTGAAATCAAGAGTTGGTTGCTTAACTGACTAAGTCACCAGGGGCCCTGGTGATTCAGCACTTTTTTTATGTGGAGTATTTGAATTTTCTCTAAGTTGTTGTAATGTTCACATTGCTGTTCCTAAAGAGAAGTTCTTTCTCCTATCTTTTTTAAAAAAATTTTTTAATGTTTATTTTGAGAGAGACAGAGAGGGAGAGACAGAGTGTGAGTGGGGGAGGAGCTGAGTGAGTGAGAGAGAGAGAGAGAGAGAGAGAGAGAGAGAGAGAGAATGTGAAGCAGGCTCCAGGCTCTGAGCTGTCAGCACAGAGCCCAATGCAGGGCTCAAACTCACAAACCACGAGATCATGAATTGAGTAAAGTCAGATGCTTAACCAACTGAGCCACTCAGGCGCCCCGATAAACCTATTTTAAAAAGAAAATAGAGCACGAGTACAATGCATCAACTTGTGACCCCCAAATGCATCTGTGTTAATACCCAAAAATATATCTGTACAAATCTCCAAAGATAGCTTGGAGCAATGGAAATAAAAGTCTTTGGTTATTTTATTATTCTTAGTTTATCTACAAAGTGCCTGACACCCCATATGCTATTAATAACAAACATTTAAAAGAATGAAAGCAATTATAATAATAGTATTAGAATGGATTTACTAGGAAGGCAGCAATTTGTGTCCATTTTGTTCACTGATATACAGTGCTAGACACATGGTAGCCATTCACTAAGTGCTTGCTAATAAGTGAATGAGTCCCACAGCCTGGTAAGAAGATCAGCCTGTGGAGTGTGGAGTTACGGAGCTGGGCTTCAGTCCTAACTGCACCATTTGCTGGCTGAGTAATCTGGCCAAGTTATTTAACTTCTCTTTGCTTCAGATTTCTCATCTATAGAATGAGGGTAAAACAGTGCATGTCTGTATTAGTTTCCTGTTGCTGCTGTAACACATGGCCATAAATTTAGGGGCTTAAAACAACAGTGATTTATTATCTTATAATTCTAGATCTTAGTAGCTGCAAAATCAGGGGGTTGTCAGGGCTGTGTTCCTTCTGGAGGCTCTAAGGGGAAATCCACTTCCTTGACCTTTATGGCTTCTAGAGGCAGCCTGCATTTTTTTGGCTGGTGGCCCCTTCTGCCATCGCCAGGCCAAAAGGGAAACATCTTCACAGTCTCTCTGTCTGACCTCTATTTGTCATCACATCTACTACTCTGACCTGGCCCCTGCCTCTCTTTGTAAGATCCCTTGTGATTATGTTGGGTCCACACAGGTAATCCAGGACACTCTTCCCATCTCAAGATCCTTAGCTTAATCACATCTGAAAAGTCCCTTTTGCCATGTTAGACCACATAGTTCAGGTTCTGGGGATTAGAATGTGGACAGATTTGGAGGAACACTATTCTGTCTACCACACTGCTTTATTTAGTGGTTGTGAGGATTTCATGAGATAATTCATACTATAATTTTGGACCAGTGCCAGGAATATTATAAATACTCAATAACTGTTAGCCTTTATTACTTTATTACTATAGAGGAACTAATACCCATGCTGTTTCCCAGAAATCAGAGCTCCAACCTCACATAAAAAATTTGTAAAGATGCATAGATTATCTGTATGTGCCCTTAAGAAGTATAGCTTGGAGAGAACATAAATAAAGAAAGCTTACTTGAAAGTAGGACAGTATATATTGGGGCACCCGGGTGGTTCAGTTGGTTAAGCTTCTGACTCTCAGTTTGATCTCAGGTCATGATCTCATGGTTTATAATATCAAGCCCCGCATCAGGCACTTATAATGAGGAGCCTGCTTGAGATCCTCTCTCTCCTTCTCTCTGCCTCTCCCCTGCTCATGCACGTGTGCATACTCACTCTCTGTCTCAAAATAAGTAAACAAACTTAAAAAAAAAAAAACAGTGGGATTATATTAATACCACTTGCTTCTGTTGCAGCTAACCTACACTAGGGTCCTGGCCCTGGATTTATGCTTTCTTATGTTTATTATTGACATATAATTCACTTACATATAAGTCACCATTTTAAAGTGTACAATTTAGTGGTTTTTAATATATTCACAAAGTTGTACAACTACCACCACCATCAAATTTCAGAACATTTTCATCATCCTCCCAAAAAAACACACACTTCATTAGCAGTCACTTCCGTTTCTCCCCTTCCACCTGCCCTTGGCAACCACTAATCTATACTTTCTGTCTCTATGGATTTGCCTATGAATCTATAAAATTTTTTAATAGTTAAAAGGTTTGTATCTTTTTTGTTTTGTTTTGTTTGCTTTTGTCGAGAAAAGTAAGATTATGGTTTTGTTTGAAACAAAACATAAGCAACCACCCACACCTGCCCAGCCTCTCTCCTGCCTCATGGGGATGCGGAGACCGCTGGTGCTGAGCAGGCTGGCCCAGGCTGAAGGAGCAGAAGAGCCAGAACTCTCTGTGTGTGAGCTTCCTCAGAGCCAGAGAGGAAGGGCATTTGGGAATGGAGTTTGGCTTCGTGAGGCAAAAAATAAAACTAAAAAAACTCAGTACACGTGCCCACTTTACAAAAGGTGGCCAAGAGGTTGGAGCCATCTCTGGCAGTTGACCATTTTATAAATGGAATCCTACCGTACAGGACCTTTGTGTCCGGCATCTTCTATTTAGCTTCATGTTTACAAGATTCATGTATGTTGTAGCATGTGCCAGCACTTGATTCCTTTTTATGGCTGAGTAATATTCTATTGTATAGATATATCACACTTTGTTTATCTGTTCATCAGTTGATGGATATTTGGGTTGTCTCTACTATGGGCTCTTATGAGTAATGCTGCTCTGAACATTTGTGTACAAGTTTTTGTATGACATTGGGATGCATACCTTGGAATGGGATTCTCTTGAGTATAGAAGGAGGAGCGGAATTTGGGGTCATATAGTAATCTTGTGCTTAACTTTATGAAGAACCGCCAAACTATTGTCCACAGAAGCTGCACCATTTTACATTCCCACCAGCAGTGGCCAAGGGCCCTGATTTCCCCACATGCTCACCAATGCTTGTTCTCTTCCTTTACTTTTTTATTTTTAAAACACTTTTAGCACCATCCTGGAGGGCAGGAAATAGCACTGTGGCTTGGCTTTGCATTTCTCTAATAGCTGATGATCTTGAGCATCCTTTCATGTACTTGCTGGCCAATTACTTATTTTCTTTGGAGAAATGTCTCTTCATATCCTTTGTCCATTATTTAATTGGGCTCATACTTTTTGAAACCATAAAGTAACAGTATGATTAATATGGAATTTAGTCAAATAGTCACTCTCTATTTTAGTTCTGGTTCAGTCTTATGTAGCAATTAGGCCCAACTATGATAGTATCGTGAAAATGAAGTTTCTCAGTTATAGTATCAATTCGGGCTCTCAGAAAAACACAGTCAATGGGAGCGCTATAGCTACATCTGTAGTGTCTGTCTATGCACAGGATTTGTATATATTAAGGAATTGGTCTGTGCAGGTGTGCGGGGAGCAGGTGGCCAGTCTGAAATCCACAAGGCAGGCTGGCAGGCTAGAAACTGAGGCAGGATTTCTGTATTGCAGAACTGAGAATTCCTTTCTGTCCAGCAAACTTCAGATTTTGTTTTTAAAACCTTACACAGATTGAATGAGTCCATGCACATTATCATTGGTAATCTCTTTAACTTAAAGTCAATTGATTGTAAACATTCATCCTATATACAAAATACAGCACCATCTAGATTACTGTTTGACCAAACAACTGCGCACCGGAGCCTAGACAAGTTGACACATAAAATGAACCACCACGGTTTCTTAAAATGATCATATTCACTTATTTTCAGAAAAATGGGACTAATGATGGAGACTATGTTTTTCTAACTGGAGAAGACAATTACCTTAACTTTACAAAGATTGTGGAATGGAATGGAAAAACGTAAGTGTAATGATTGATTTTTAACAATTTTTAAAATTTAAAAATTTAAAAATTTTTGTTTAAATTGCATGTCCACTTATGCATTATTTCAAAAGAATTTTAACACTGTCAATTTTGGGATGAAAACTCTATAAATATGTAAAATATCTTTATAATTATTAGTTTATAAATCAGGATTGAGGCGACACACTTTACAAATGAAATGTTAGTGCTCCATAGATTGATCTTGGCTAGGCATGAATTACAAGTGGTGGTAAGTTTCACTTTCCAGGTAGTCATTGAATGATGTGTAGCTGCAACACAGATACTTTAAAACCACTTTGATTTGGGGAAGAGGGAAGTGTTTCTCTTTTTAATAGTGATTGTGGACTGTTCATGTATTTTTCTTTAAAAATAAAATACATTCGAGTTCACTACTATGGTATTTCAGAAATGTTTTTTTTTTTTTAACATTTATAACTTATAAACAAACTATTTCTAAAAAGGAGCCAAGGCAGTTTGCAATAAAGCTATATAGAAGACAAGATAATGTCTTTAAGTCAGGAATTAGAAACCTTGGAGAGAAAAGGAGAGTATTTCCTTAGAGACTGAGGTAAAAGGAATTCTGTTCTTGAACATTAAATTCCTAACCAAGTATCCCAGAAATATATGAAAAAAATGGTATGGAATATAAGGGAACCCTCTCTACTACCTTCACAATTTTTCTGTAAATATCAACTATTTTTATTTTTTTAATGTTTATTTTTTTATTCGCGAGAGCGCACACACAAGAGGGGGAGGGGCAGAAAGAGAGAGGGAGACACAGAATCCAAAGCAGGGTGTAGGCTCCTAGCTGTCAGCACAGAGCCTGATCCGGGGCTCAAACTTGTGAACCCTGAGATCATGACCTGAGCCAAAGTCTGATGCTCAACCAACTGAGCTACCCAGGCGCCCTTTAAACTATTTGTAAATAAAAAGCTTATTTAAATTTTAAAAAGTACACATATCCACGTACATAAACATATATTTGTGGGTGTGTACACACACACAGACCAACACGTACACCAAAATAGATAAGATCCTGAGAGAATATGTTGGAAACTGCTAACAGTGTGGCCCCTGGAGGACCAGCAGCTGGCTCCAGGGAAAGTTACTTATAAACAGGATATAGCTGGATTTTGTTTTAAACTCAATCTGTTATTCTCTTCCCAATCTTTTAATAGCAGAGCTCAATCCGTTTAAATATTTATAGTTATTGGGGCGCCTGGGTGGCTTAGTCGGTTAAGCGTCCGACTTTCGCTTAGGTCATGATCTCGCGGTTTGTGGGTTCGAGCCCCGCGTCGGGCTCTGTGCTGACTGCCAGCTCAGAGCCTGGAGCCTGTTTCAGTCTGTGACTCCCTCTCTCTCTGACCCTCCTCTGCTCACGCTGTCTCTCTCTCTCCTACAAATAAATAAAAATAAATAAATAAATATTTATAGTTATTGATACAACTATAATGATATATTATTTAATATATTAGATTTTTTTTCTGGTTTATGTCTATTCTATCCTCAGATTTTATGGTTCATATTTAACATTTTGTCCTGACGAAAGTTGTTTATTGTCTCTTCTCCTCCCAAATAGGACAGTAATGTTACCCATTTTGTAACACATTATACCCATCTTCCATGCTGTTCTTGCCTTCAGCTTGTTTCACATTCTCTGGAAGCCAAATATAAACAGAATGTTTATCATTTTACAGTAAATTCTTAATTAAATGTACCAATGTATTTTATTAAATTTTTTCTTCTTTGTGCATTTTTATTGAAAGTCTACTTAGTTGACATACAATGTAACATTAGTTTTAGGTGTAAAATATAGTGATTCATCACTTCCATACAACACCCTGAATTGTGCACTCCTTAATCCCCATCATCTATTTTTTTTATTATTTTAAGTTTTTATTTAAGTTCTAGTTAGTTAACATATAGTGTAATATTGGTTCCAAGAGTAGAGTTTAGTGATTCATCACTTACATATAATGCCCAGTGCTCATCATGACAAGTGCCTTCCTTAATACCCATCACCCATCTAGCCCATTCCCCCACCCACCTTCCTCCATCAACCCTAGTTTTTTTTTAAACATTTATTTATTATTTTTGAGAGAGAGAGAGAGCAGGGGAGGAGCAGAGAGAGAGGGAGACACAGAATCTGAAACAGGCTCCAGGCTCTGAGCTGTCAGCACAGAGCCCGATGCAGGGCTCAGACCCACGAACTGTGAGATCACGACCTGAGCCAAAGTCAGATGCTTAACCGACTGAGCCACCCATGTGCCCCATGTTCTTTATAGTTAAGAGTCTCCTATGGGTTACCTCCCTCTCTCTTATTTTTTTCCCTTCCCTTATGTTCATCTGTTTTGTTTTCTTAAATTCCATATGAGTGAAATCATGATATTTGTCTTTCTCTGAATGTCTTGTCTGCTTAGCATAATACACTCTACCTCCATCTATGTTGCTGCACATGGCAAGATTTCATTCTTTCTAATGGCTGAGTAATATGACATTGTATTTATGTGTACACACACACACACACACACACACACACACTACATCTTCTTCATCCATTCATCAGTCAATGGACATTTGGGCTCTTTTCATTATTTGGCCATTGTTGGTAATGCTGCTATAAACCTCAGGGTGCATGTGTCCTTTCAAATCAGTATTTTTGTATCCTTTAGGTAAATATCTAGTAGTGCAATTGCTGGGTCATAGGGTAGTTCTATTTTTAACTTTTTGAGGAAACTCCATATTGTTTTCCAGAGTGCCTGCGCTAGTTTGCTTTCCCACAAGCAGTGTTTTCCTTTCCCTGCATTCTCACCAACACCTGTTGTTTCCTGTGTTGTTCATTTTAGCCATTCTGACAGGTGTGAGATGGTATCTCATCATGCTTCTGATTTGTATTTCCCTGGTTATGAGTGATGTTGAGCATCTTTTCATGTGTCTGTTAGCCATCTGGATGTCTTCAGTGGAAAAATGTCTTATTCATATCTTCTGCCGATTTCTTAACTTTATGGATGTTGAGTTTGTTAAGTTCTTCATAGGTTTTGGATACTAACCCTTTATCAGATATGTCATTTGCAAAGATATTCTCCCATTCCATAGGTTGCTGTTTAATTTTGTTGACTGTTTCCTTCTCTGGGCAGAAGCTTTTTGGCATATGATGTCCCAATAGTTCATTTTTGCTTTTGTTTCTCTTGCCTCCAGAGACATGTCTAGTAAGAAGTTGCTATGGGCAGTGTCGAATAGGTTGCTGCCCATGTTTTTCCCCAGTATTTAGATGGATTCCTGTCTCACATTTAGGTCTTTCATCCATTTTGAGTTTATTTTTCTGTGTGATGTAGAAAGCTGTCCAGTTTCATTCTCCTGCATGTTGCTAACCAGTTTTCCCAACACCATTTGTTGAAAAGACTGTCTTATTTCCAGTAAATATTCTTTCCTGCTTTGTTGAAGATTAGTTTACCATACAGTTGTGGGTCTGTTTCTGGGTTTTTCTCTTCTGTTCCATTGATCTATGTGTCTGTTTTTGTGCCAGTACCATACTGTATTGATGATTGCAGTTTTGTAATAAAGCTTGAAGTCCGAATTGTGATGTCCCCAGCTTTTCTTTCCAAGATTGCTTTGGCTATTTGGGGTCTTTTGTGGTTCCATAAAAATTTTAGAATTGTTTGGTCTAGCTCTGTGGAAAATGCTGGTGGTATTTTGATAGGGATTTCATTAAATGTGTAGATTGCTTTGGGTAGTATAGACATTTTAACAATGTTTATTCTTCCAACCCATGAGCATGGAATATTTTTCCTTTTCTTTGTGTCATCTTCAATTTCTTTAATAAGCTTTCTATAGTTTTCAGTGTACAGATCTTTTACCTCTTTGGTTAGGTTTACTCCTAAGTGTCTTATGGTTTTTGGTACAATTGTAAATGGGATCAACTCCTTGATGTCTCTTTTTGTGCTGCTTCATTATTGGTGTATAGAAATGCAACAGATTTCTGCACATGGATTTTATATCCTGTGACTTTGCTCAATTCGTGTATCAGTTCTAGCAAGCTTTTGGTTGAGTCTTTCAGATTTTCTACATAGGGCATCATGTCATCTGCAAATAGTGAGAGTTTGACTTTTTCTTGCCAATTTGGATGCCTTTTATTTCTTTTTATTGTCTGATTGCTGTGGCTAGCACTTCCAGTACTATGTTAAATAACAGAAGTGAGAGTGGACATCCCTGTCTTGTTCCTGACCTTGGAGAAAAAGCTTTCAGTTTTTCCTCATTGAGGATGGTATTGGCTGTGAGTCTTTCCTACTTGGCCTTTATGATATTGATGTATTTTCCCTCTATCCCAACTTTGCCAAAGGCTTTTATCAAGAATAGATACTATATTTTGTCAAATGCTTTTGCTGTATCTATTGAGAGGATCATATAGTTCTTGTCTTCTTTTATGAATGTGGTATATCACATTGATTGATTTGTGAATATTGAAATCTACCCTGCAGCCCAGGAATGAATCTCACTTGATCATGATGAATAGTTCTTTTAATGTACAGTTGGATTCAATTTACTAGTATCTTATTGAGAATTTTGCATCCATGTTCATCAGGGATATTGGCCTATAATTCTCCTTTTTAGTGAGGCCCTCATCTGGCTTTAGAATCAAGGTAATGCTGGCCTCATAGAATGAGTTTTCCTTTCTATTTATGTTTTTTGAAACAGTTTGGTTTCACTCTTTTTTTTAATGTTTGGTACAATTCCCCTGGAAGGCCATCTGGTCTGGACTTTTTTTTTTTGGGAGATTTTTGTATTTAATTCAGTTTCTTTGCTGGTGATCAATTTGTTCAGATTTTCTATTTCTTCTTATTGCAGCTTTTGTCATTTTTATGTTTCTTGGAATTTCTCCATTTCTTCCACATTGCCCAATTTTTTGGCATATAGTTTTTCATAATATTCTCTTATAATTGTATTTCTGTGGTGTTGGTTGTGAGCTCTCCTCTTTCATTCATGATTTTATTTGGGTCCTTTCTCTTTTCTTTTTGATAAGTGTGGCTAGGGGGTTGTCAGTTTTATTAATTCTTTCGAAGAGCCAGTTCTTAGTTTCATTGATCTGTTCTAATATGTTGCTTGTTTGTTTGTTTCTATATAATTTATTTCTGCCAGAATCCTTATTATTTCCCTTCTTCTGCTGACTTTAGACTTTATTTTCTGTTTCTTTTCCAGCTCCTTTAAGTGTAAAGTTAGGTTGTATATTTGAGACTTTTCTTGTATCTTGATAGGCCTGTATTGCTATATACTTCCCTCCTATGACTGCCTTTATTACATTCCAAAGATTTTGAACTGCCATGTTTTCATTTTCATTTGCTTCCATGTATTTTTAAATTTCTTCTTTAATTTCCTGGTTAACCCATTCATTCTTTTTTGTTTTAATGTTTATTTATTCGTTTTAGAAAAGAGAGAGGGAGAGGCAGAGAGAAAGGGAAACGGAGAAGCCCAAGCAGGCTCCACACTGTCAGTGCAGAGCTTGATGAGGGGTTTGAACCCACAAACTGTGAGATTATGATCCAAGCTAAAATCAAGCACTGGATACTCAACTGACTGAGCCATCCAGTCATTCTTGAGTAGGATGTTCTTTAACCTCCGTGTATTATGTTCTCTCTAATTTTTTTCTTGTGGTTGACTTCAAGTTTATAGCTTTATGGTCTGAAAATATGCACGGTATGATCTCAGTCTTTTTGTACTAGTTGAGACCTGATTTATGACCCAGTATGTGGTCATAAACATTCTGGAGAATGTTGCTTGTATACTCAAAAATAATGTGTAGTCTGCTGCTTTAGGATGAAATGTTCCAAATATACCTGTTAAGTCTATCTGCTGTGTCACTCAAAGCCATTGTTTCCTTGTTGCTTTTCTGCTTATATGATCTGTCCTTGGTGTAAGTGGGCTATTAAAGTTCCCTACCATTATTGTATTGTTATCAATGAGCTTCTATGTGTTTGTTTTGAACTGATTTATATATTTGCATATTTCCAAGTTGAGGGCATAAATATTTACAACTGTTAGATCTTTCTTGTTGGGTAGGCTCCTTTATTATGATATAGTACCCTTCTTCATCTCTTGTTACAGTCTTTGGTTTAAAATCTAGTTGATCTGATGTAAGTATGGCTACTGTGGCTCTCTTTTGACATCCATTGGCATGATAACTGGTTCTTGATACCCTCACTTTTAATCTGGAGGTGTCTTTACATCTAAAATTAGTCTCTTGTAGGAGGCATTTCGATGGGTCTTTTTTTTTTTTTTTAATCTGTCTGATACCTATGTTTTTTGATTGGAACATTTAGTCCATTTACATTCAGAGTAATTATAGATAAATAAGAAATTCAGTACCATTGTGTTACCTCAAAAGTCACTGTTTCTGGAGATTTTCTTTGTTCCTTTTTAGTCTTTGCTGCTTTTGGTCTTTCTTCTCCACTCAACAGGTCCCCTTTAATACTTCTTGCAGGGCTGGTTTAGTGGTCATGAACTTCTTTAGTTTTTGTTTGTCTGAGAAACTCTTTATCTCTCCTTCTATTCTGAATGACAGCCTTGCTGGGTGGACTATTGTTGGCTGTAGATTTTTCCCATTCAGCACGTAGAATAATATATCATGCCACTCCCTTCTGGCAAGTTTCTGTGGAGAGATCTGTTGCTAACCTTATTTGTTTTCTCTTGTAGGTTAGGGATCTCTTTTCCCTTACTGTTTTCAGGATTCTTTTCTTGTCCTGTATTTTGCAAATTTTTACTGTGATATTTCTTGGTGTTGACCTGCTTTTGTTGATTTTGGTGGGAGTTCTCTGTGCCTTTTGGATTTAGATGTCTATTTTCTTCCCCAGATGAGGGAAGTTTATGCCTATAATTCACTCAAATAAACCTTCTGCCCTCTTTCCCTTCTCTTCCTCTTCTGGGACTATTATGATACAAATGTTATGCTTTATGGAGTCACTGAATTCCCTAAGTCTACATTCATGATCCAATATTTTTCTTCCCCTTTATTTTTCAGCTTCATTATTTTCTTTAACTTTATCCTCTATATCACTTATCTGCTTCTTTTTTCCTTGTGATCATTACATCCAGTTAGTTGGTTTTGCAGCTCAGTTATAGCATTTTTTATTGCAGCCTGACTTGTTTTTAGGTCTTTTATCTCTGTGGTAAGGAACTTTCCTTGGTATCTTCTATGCTTTTCTCAAGTCCAGCTAGTATCCTTATAACTGTTGTTTTAAATTCTGGCTCAGGCATATTACTTATATCTGTTTTGATTAGATCCCTGGCTGAGACTTCCTGTTCTTTCTTTTGGGATGAGTTCCTCCATCTTGGCATTTTGTCTAGGTGTCTGTCTTCCTTGTAGTAAGAAAGCCTGTTATGTTTCCTACTCCTGGGAGTAATGTCTATATTAAGAAGACATCCTATACTGTTCAGTACCTGATGCTTCAGAAGGTGTTTCGGGTATATGTTGTGTGTACTCTGCTGTTGTGTTTTGGCAGCTCTTTCCCTCAGATCAGTCCTCTACAGAATTTCTCCTTGCAGAATGGGGAGGGTTTGGACCTTGTCCACTGTGTGGTGAGTTTTAACTAGTGTGTTGTGGTCTGCTTGTCAAGAGACTAGATCCTGTATCCCCTAGACTGAAACTTTGCAGCACTCTGTGGTCAGTAGACTTAGTGGGTGCAAGGGGTTTGTGCTAGTCTTCTGGGGGGAGGGGACAGCCGCTGCTCTGGCTCTCAGTGACACTTGTCCTAGTTAAAAAACAAAGAAGAACAAAAACATCTGCAGAGTGCATGGAGCAGGACTTGGTGTAAGAGGCTCAAGCCTCCAGTGTGGGCATTGTGCCTCTCTTTGAAGCCTGTCTATGCTGATGGGCACTGTGAAAAATGGCGTCAGCCAGCTCTCATCCCTGGAGAGGGGAGTTCACTCATACTGCTCTTCAGGAAGCCCTCACTGAAGAGCAAACTATCTCCCCCTTTTTTGTCCCAGGCTTCCCCCAGATACCTGCCTTCACCCTGTCTGTGTCCCAGCCATCTGCCCATGTGTCAGCGCAGTGATCCTGAGTTTTATCTCAGGCGCGCCCGCTAGTTTCAAAGCACCAAAGTTTAGGAACCTGGAGTGGCAGAGCCCCACACTGATCCCCTGGGAGAGGGTCTCACTGTGCTGTGGCTGGTGCCAGTTTGTCCCAGAAAGGCAGTTGCTCGAATGCAAGGGGGTTGGAGTTCATGGTAAAGTGCAGCAAAAAGTTGAGGTCTGAGTTAGCTGCCCTCAGCAGGCATCTCTGCTCCTCTGCTAATAAACAGGGCAGCTCAGTGGCACCTGCCAGCTCTTCTGTCCCTGGAGAGGCCGTGCCACCTCTCCCAAGTGCACTCCAAGAAGGGGAACTGTCTCTCCCAGTGTGACCCAGAGGGTCCTCAGAGCACGCTGTCTGTTCCTGGCCTCTGCCCTCCTTCCCCACAGGAGCACCTCCATGCCCTCCAGTCTCCACCCCCGGGGGTGACACAGACGTCTGAAACTTCAGACTTTGGGCTCCACTGCTTGTAAACACTTGCAGTTATCAGCACCTCTCCTTTTCCCCATCAGTGGTCGTGGAGAAGTATTTTTCTTGTGTAATGCCCTACATGCTGCGCCCCCTCTCTCTCTGATCAGCGCTCCCTCCTTTACTCAGCACCAGTGATTCTTTTCTCTCCGAGATCACATCCCTGCACCTCCTGCCTTCCACAGTGTGGCCTCTTTTCTCCTTCTAGTTGTGCAGTTTGTTCTCTCAGTAGCAGATGGATTTCCTGGGAGTTCACAATGATTTAATATTTATGTAGCTGTGTTCGAGGGAGGAGGCAACTATAGGGTCCTCCTACTACTCTGCCATCTTAATGCCTTCCTTACGAGCTGAACATATCGCCTGCCAGTGAGCTAGCTCTGCACAAGGCTATTGTTCATGCTAAATTGAATCACTGTTTTAAGAAAATGGCTATTCCAAGCCTCTGCGTAGGATACTCTTTTTTGCAGGAAGGAAAGAGGATGTTTCTGGATGTTGCCTTTATCAGAACTGATTTGGGGATCAGGTACCTACTATTCCGCCTCTTGATCCAACCCCTAAACAACTCTCCCCTTGTTTCTGTGTGTGAATAAGATTCAGTGGGTAGCTGTCAACTCTCAATTAAGGCTTGAGAAAGTCCTGACCATCTGAAAAAAATCTCAAATCCAATTTGATAATCTTGAGCCTTTCTTGTGCCTATCAATTACAGGTCACTTGACTGGTGGACAACAGATAAGTGCAATATGATTAATGGGACAGATGGAGATTCTTTTCATCCGTTAATAAACAAAGATGAAATTCTTTATGTCTTCCCATCTGATTTTTGCAGGTAAGAACTTTGTAAATAAGTTATTTGCCTAAAAAACCCCTCAAAATGGGGGCGTCTGGGTGGCTCAGTCGGTTGGGTGGCCAACTTCGGCTCAGGTCATGATCTCATGGTTCGTGGGTTCGAGCGCCACCTTGGGCTCTATGCTGACAGCTAGCTCAGAGCCTGGAGTCTGTCTTCAGATTCTGTGTCTCCGTCTCTCTCTGACCCTCCCCTACTCACGCTGTCTCTCTCTCTCTCTCTCTCTCTCTCAGAAATAAATAAAACATTAAAAAAATCTTTTTAAAAACCCAAAATGTGAGAAATGTATGCAGCTACCCTTAAGAGGCCTAGCCATTTATGCTTCATCAGTGATGCATGGGCTCCAGAGCCTGACTGCATTGGTTGGTTTGAGTACCAGCTCCAACACTGACAGCTGTGTGACCTTGAGAAGGTTATTCAACCACTCTGTGCCTCACTTTCCTCATTGGTAAAATAAGGATAGTTGCCCTGCTTTGGAGTTGTTATGTGGACAAATGAGTTAGTTAGTAGAACACTTCGCCCAGAGCATGTGAAAAAGTAAACAATGTTAAGTGATGGCTCTTAGTTATTATGATATGCTCTGTCAAGCATGAAATTTGACCTGGTCTTCCAGTCAACAGTTAACCTCTACATAGAAGAGAAATAAATCAAACTGTTGTCCCTATTTCAGGGTTTGTAGGTATTTGCTTAGCTATCACCTTCCCTTAGATCATTCCTGCTCTCACTTACTCCGTAAGCTCTCTCTCTCACTCCACCTGCTCCTTCATGATTATGGCTCCTCTTTGGGGAGAAGGCATCCTGCTCTCCACCCTGATTCCCATCTCCCCCATCACACACTGCCCTTTCTCTACCCTTCACCCTCAAACTACCCAAATGAATGGCTGACTCACATAGTCTTCCATATCCTCCCCACCCACTCCATCAAGGCTTTTTATGAAACTTCTCCTCAAATTCGCAAGTGACCTAGCTGCAGTTGATGCTGTTAATGCAGTATTACCAAGAATTGCTGTCCTGGTGGTGTTTCATAGCTTACACAAGCACACTGCCTACCCAGCCAGCCCTGCCAGAAATATTGGGGATACTATAAATCTCCCTCCTCTCCTGCATCGAATCTGCTACCAGATGCTGGGAGGCCTTCTCAGAAATAGCTCTTGTATCGGCTCCCACCCGACCGTCCCTGCTGCCTGTGCCACGGCTCATACCCTTCCACCTCTCCCACAGAAATACCACCGTCCCCCTCTAGCTGGCTGCCCTTGTCCGTACATATTTGTGGGAGGACTGAATGCAGCAAGTGAAACGACTCAAGCTAGAAGGCCAGTAGGAGGCTTTTTAAAAAAATTGGCACAGGGGTGCCTGGGTGGCTCAGTCAGTTGTGCGTCCGACTTCGGGTCAGGTCATGATCTCACAGTTGGTGGGTTCGAGCCCCGCGTCGGGCTCTGTGCTGACAGCCAGCTCAGAGCCTGGAGGCTGCTTCAGATTCTGTATCTCCCTCTCTCTCTCTGACCCTCCCCTGCTCTCTCTCTCTCTCTCTCTCAGAAATAAATAAAACATTACAAAAAAGTTTTTTTAATTTAAAAAAATTTTTTAAAAAATAATTTGGCACAGAGGAAACACATTCTTACCTGGCACAGCCACTTTTGAAGGGACATTTGGCAATGATTAGTAAAGCCAAAGACGTGCAAACCCCATGGTGCTTCACGCTTCTCCTACGTAGGGTCCCTGGCTGGAAGAACCCTTGTATAGACGTGTAAAGAGACATACACAGAAAAGTTCAATGCAGCATGCTCTTAGTAGTGAAAAATTGGAAGCTATCTAAGTCTCTATAAAAAAAAAAGTCTTTGGAATAAATGTGGTGTGTTCATATCATGAAATATCGTGTAAATTTTAAAATGTAAGAACCAGGCTGTGTACTGTTATAAATCTTAATAATGTGATGTTGAATGAAGAAGCAAATTACAGGAAGAGAACATGGTGTACTGTTTACAGAGCACGTAAAAGTAGCGAATGGTGCCACATATTGTTTATGAATGTGCACCTTTGTGAAAGGATGAACACCGACGAGGGAGGGTTGAGCCCCAAGTTTAGGACAGTGGCTACCTCTGGGGAGGCGGAGGACTGGAATCAGGAGTGTTATACAGAGGGCTGCAGTTGTACCCATATAATATATTGTATCTACCTGACTAGTATTTGTTGTAAAAGGTATTTATTATAATGTTTTCTCTATTTTTCCATTTGCTTAAAATATTTTATTTGGGAAATGCAGTAGGGCTGGGATGTGACTGGGAGGCAGCTGCCATGCTGGCCACAGCCCTGCGAAACATAGCCCACCTCTGGTTCAAAGATGAAAAAGCCAGGCCCAGGAAGAAATTCCCTTTGGGTTTTAAATGAAGGGCCGAAGGACCCTTGAGACAGAGCCTGTGAGAGTGCTCTGTCTGTCACTCAGGCGCTATGCAAACACAAGGGTGGTTAGTGTTATAGGGGATCACTGACGCTCAGTAAGGACTCAAGACAAAATTACATTGAACTCCATTGAAACAGATGACTGAAATAAACATTGAAATGGATTCCAAAATACAGATGCTATTTTTATTTGAGGAAAATGGGTATCTCAGTATACATTTAAGTCAAGTATCTGTCTAATGGGGCACTTTTCAAGTGCGCACAAAATCTACCCAGCCGAGCCCTTGGTGACCTTTTCTGCCCTTGCTCTGCCTCCCCCTTGCTTCTGCTTCATCCACGCTGACACGTGCCCATGCTGGTCTAGACGAGTCTTATCGAGTGAGGCTCCATCCTAAACGTCATCTTAATTTCCTAACACACGTATTTTTTCCTTGGCCTTGTTTGGCTGTTACTACAGTTGCTACCTCTTAAACAAATTTCATCATAATTCACCTTCTACACTGACTGGATAGAGTTCCTTTCAAACTTTCTTTTGCAACTTCATTTACAGCTATCCTCTATAAGCTTTAACCATGTTGTACCTGAGAATGGTTGTTAACTTATTGGTTTGGGGCAGATTACACTGACTTTTCATGCTTACTTCCCAACAGATCAGTGTATATAGCCTTCAGTGACTTTGAGAGTGTGCAGGGACTGCCCGCTTTTCGGTATACGGTGCCTAAAGAAGTGCTAGCCAATACCTCGGACAATGCCGGCTTCTGTATACCTAAAGGAAACTGCCTGGGCTCAGGAGTTTTGAATATCAGCGTCTGCAAGAATGGTAAGAACTCAGAGAAGGGACATACTTATGAGTGTCTAGAATGAAGGATTAGTGTTGTTCAATAAAGAATGCTGTCAGCCCAAATGAAAAAGTGATTTTGACTTCTCAAGAATAATATTTCACAATATGGCAATAGAATGGTAAAAAAAAAAAAAATTACTGGCTTTTCTATAATGCTTGTTTTTTTTTTTAATTCAGATTTCATAGATGTATAACATTATATTAGTTTCAGTATACAATATAATGATTCAATATTTGCACATATTGTAAAATTATCACTATAGGGGCGCCTGGGTGGTTCAGTCAGTTAAGCATCCGACTCTTGATTTCGGATCATGAGCTCACGGTCCATGAATTTGAGCCCCATCTCAGGCTCTGTGCTAATGGCATGGAACCTGCTTGGTATTCTCTGTCTCTTTCTCTTTCTCTCTCTCTCTGCCCTTCCCCCCACCTCAAAATAAATTAATAAACTTTAAAAAATGATCACTGCAATAATCTAGTTAACATCCATCACCATACATAGTTATAAAAAAGGGTTTTTTTCCTGTGATGAAGACTTTTAAGACCTACTCTCTTAGCAACTTGTAAATATGCAATACAGTACTGTTAACTATAGTTACTATGTTGTATATTACATTCCCATGACAGTTTTATAACTGGAAGTTTGTACCTGTTGACCCCTTTCATCCATTTCTCCCACCCTAGCCCCGCTGCCCCTGGCAATCACTGACCTGTTCTCTGTATCTATGAGTGTCTGGGATGAAGGATTAGTGTTCTTCAATAAACAATGCTGTCAGCCCAAATGAAAAAGTGATTCTGACTTTTAAAGAATAATATTTCACAATATGGCTATAGAATGTTGGTTTGTTGTTGCTATCGTTTTGGGGCGCCTGGGTGGCTTAGTCGGTTAAGCGTCTGACTTTCGCTTAGGTCATGATCTTGCGGTTCGTGGGTTCGAGACCCGCGTCGGGCTCTGTGCTGACTGCCAGCTCAGAGCCTGGAGCCTGTTTCAGTCTGTGACTCCCTCTCTCTCTGACTCTCCCCTGCTCACGCTGTCTCTCTCTCTCTCTCCTAGAAATAAATAAAAACCTTGAAAAAAATTAAAATAAATAAATAAAATCCATGTGTAAGTGAGATCATCGGTATTTGTCTTTGTCTGACTCATTTCATTTAGCATAATGCCCTCAAGATCCATCCATGTTGTTGCACATGGCAAGATTTCATTCTTTTTATGGATGAAAAGTATTCACGTTGTGTGTGTGTGATATGTGTGTGTGTGTATATCTCCCACTACTTATTTATTCATTCATCCATTGATAGATTATTTCCATATCTTAGCTATTGAAAATAATGCTGCGATGAGCATTATCAATAATAGCCAAATTATGGAAAGAGCCCAAGTGTCCATTGACTGATGAATGGATAAAGAAATTGTTGTGTGTGTGTATATCATATACATATGGAATATTTTTCAGCAATCAAAAGGATGAAATCTTATACTTGCAACAATGTGGATAGAACTAGAGTGTAGTATGCTAAGCGAAATAAGAGAAGGATATCATATGATCTCACGCATATGTGGAATTTAAGAAACAAAACAGATGAACATAGGGGAAGGGAGGTAAAAATAAGATAAAAACAGAGAAGGAGACAAACCATAAGAGACTTTAGGATTGTTAATTCTATATCTGTGAAAAATGCCATTGGAATTTGATAAGGGTTGCATTGAATCTGTAGATTCCTTTGGATAGTATGGGAATTTTAACAATATTAATTTTTCCAATCCATGAACATGGAATATCTTTCCATTTATTTGTATCTTCTTCAGTTTCTTTCCTCAGTGTCTTCCAGTTTTTGGTGCACAGATCTTTTACCTCCTTGGTTAAATTTATTTCAAGATCTCTTAGTCTTTTAGATGTTATTGTAAATGAGATTATTTTCTTAATATCTTTTTCTGATAGTTTATTATTAGTGTATAGAAACACAACTGATTTTTGTATTTTTTTTTCTTTTTTTATCCTGCAGCTTTACTGAATTTATTAGTTCTGGCAGTTTTTTGGTGGGGCCTTTGGGGTTTTCTCTGTCATCTGCTAATCATGTTATCTGTATATCATGTCATCTGCTGATAGTGACAGTTTTACTTCTTCTTTACCAATTTGGATGCCTTTTATTTCTTTTTCTTGCCTAGTTACTCTGGCTAAGACTTCCAATATTATGTTTAATAAAAGTGGCAAGAGTGGATATCCTTGTCTTGTTCCTGATTCTAGAGGAAAAGCTTTCAGTTTTTCACTGTTGAATATGATGTTAGCTATGGGCTTGTCATACGTGATCTTTGTTGTGTTGAGCGATATTCTCTCTATATCTACTTTATCATGAGTTTTTATCATAATGGATATTGAATTTTGTCACATGCTTTTTTCTGCACCTATTGAAATGATCATATAATTTTTATCCTTCATTTTGTTAATGTGTATATAATTTTGATTGATTTGCAAATGTTGAATCATTCTTGCATCCCTGAAGTAAATCCCACTTCATTATGGTGTATGATTCTTTTATTTAATGTTTATTTATTTATTTTGAGAGAGTGAGGAGGGAGGGGCAGAGAGAGAGGGAGACTGAGACTCCCAAGCAGGCATGATTTCAGCACAGAGCCCCATGTCAGGCCCCATCTCACAAACCATGAGATCATGACCTGAGCCAAAACCAAGAGTTGGAAGCTTAGCTGACTGAGCCACCCAAGCATCCCTGTTTGATGTATGATCTTTTTAATATATTGTTGAGTTCAGTTTGCTAATATTTTGTTGAACAGTTTTGCATTTATGTTCATCAGGGATATTGACCTATAATTTTCTTTTCTTGTGATGTCCTCGTCTGGTTTTAGTATTAGGGTAATACTGGCTTTGTGAAATGAGTTTGGAAATATTCCCTTACCTTCTCTGTTTTAGAAGACTTTGAGAAGGTTTGGTAACAATTCTTCTTTGAATGTTTGGTAGAATTCACCACTGAAGCCATCTGATCCTGGACTTTTACTTTTACTTTTGTTTGTTAGGAAGTTTTTTTGTTTTTTGTTTCCAATTTTTTAAGCTTATTTATGTATTGGGGGGGGAGTGCATGCACAAGCACAAGTGGGGGAGGGCAGAGGGAGAGAGGGAGTGAGAGAATGCCAAGCAGGTTTCACTCTGTCAGCACAGAGCCTGACACAGGGCTCAAACCCACAAACTGTGAGAGCATGACCTGAGCCAAAATCAAGAGTCACATTCTCAACTGACTGAACCACCCAGACATCCTAAAAAAAATTCAATTATTGACTCAATCTCCTTACTAATGATTGATCTATTCAGATTTTCTATTTCTTCATGATTCAATCTTGGAAGGTTGTCTTTCTAGGAATTTATCCACTTCTTTTAGGTTGTTTGTTAGCAAATAGTTGTTCATAGTAGCCTCTCATGATCATTTCTTTGTATTTCTCTGGTATTAGTTGTAACATTACCTCTTTCATTTCTGATTTATTTATTTGAGCTCTCTTTTTCTTTTGTTAAAGAGAAAGCAAAGGTTTGACAATTTTATCTTTTCAGAGAGCCAGCTCTTAGCTTCATTGATCTTTCTCATTATCTTTTTAGTCTCTTTTTCATTTTTTTCCACTCTGATCTTTATTATTCCCTTCTTCTACAATGGCTTCATTTTTCCTTCTTTTTCTAGTTCCTTGAAGTTAAGCTGTTTATTTGAGAATTTCATGTTTCTTGAGGTAGGTATTTCTCACCATGAATTTCTCCCTTAGAGTTCCTTTTGCTGCATTCCATAAATTTTGGTATGCCGTATTTTCATTTTCATTTCTCTCGAAGTATTTTTTTATTTCTCTTTGAATTCTTTTTTGACTCATTGGTTGTTCAGGAACACATTGTTTAGTTTCCACATATATGTGAATTTTCAAGTTTAATCCCTATAGTTGATTTCTAGTTTTCTACCATTGTGGGAGGAAAAAGATGCTTGACATGATTTCAATCTTTTTAAATTTTTAAGACTCGTGACCTAACATAATGACCTAGCTTGTAAAACGTTTCATGTGCACTTGAGAAGAATATGTACTTTGCTGCTTTTTTAATAGAATGTTCTGTATATACCTAAGTTCATCTGGTCTAATGTAGTTAAGGCCAATGTTTCCTTATTGATTTCCCGTCTGGATGATCTATTGATGTAAGTGGAGTATTATTAAAGCCTCCTGCTATTATTGTTTTGCTGTCTATTTCTCCCATGAGGTCTGTTAATATTTTCTTTATACACTTAAGTGCCCCCGTGTTGTAAATATAAATATTTACAAATGTTATATCCTCTTGTTGGACTCATTCTTTTATCATTACAAAATGCCTCTCTTTGTCTTTTATTTAAGTCTTTGTTTTCAAGTCTATTTTATCTTGAGGCACCTGAGTGACTCAATTGGTTAAGGGTCCAACTTAGGCTCAGGTCATGATCTCATGGTTTGTGAGTTTGAGCCCCCTGTTGAGAGCTCTGTGCTGACAGCTCAGAGCCTGGAGCCTGCTTCAGATTCTGTGTCTCCCTCTCTCTCTGCTCCTCCCCCACTCATGCTCTGTCTCTCTCTCTAAAAAATTAATAAACATAAAAAAAAAACTTAAGTCTATTTTGTCTGATGTAATTATAGCTATCCCAGCTTTCTTTTGATTTCCAATTGCATGGAACATATTTTTTCTTCCCTTCACTTTCAATCTGTGTGTGTCCTTGCATCTGAATTAAGTCTCTTTAGGCAGCATATGGATGGATATTATATTTTTATCCATTCAGCCACTCTGTCTTTTGATTGAAGAGTTTAGTCCATTTACATTTAAAGTAATTACTGATAGGTATAGACTTATTGGCATTTTGTTAATTGTTTTCTGGCACTTTTGTAGTTCCTCTGTTCCATTCTTCTTTCTCTTGGGTAATGATTCTTATTTCTAGAATGCCCTGTTGTGTTCTTTCTGGGCAGTATTTTAGAAGTCCTTTTTTTTTTTTTTTAATGTTTATTTTAGAGAGAGAGAGAATGTGAGCAGGGGAGGGTCAAAGAAAGAGGAAGACACAGAATCCAAAGCAGGGTCCAGGCTCCAAACTGTCAGCACAGAGCCTGACACAGGACTCAAACTCATGAACCACGAGATCATGACCTGAGCTGAAGTCAGATGCTTAACCAACTGATCCAGCCAGGCACTCCTAGAAGTCTTAATAGTGATAATGGCTCGTGTTTACTGAGCATTTACACTAGTCACTGTTCCCTTGTCATTGTTCTAAGTGGTTTAGATATTTACATGTAGTTAATACATGTAAAGCATGAACTGATTTTATGGTCATAACTGCGAAAAAAGAAAGTGGAGAACTGGGTAATGAGAAAGAACATATCTTATTAAAAATAAACGATGATTTCAAAGCAGAGTTAGTTTTATACACTGACTGCAAATTTCCCAGTGTTTCTAAATGTCTGAGCTATTCTTCTTCCTTCAGTGAATGAGGCCGAATTATCACCATATTGACAAAAGCATTTTCTTCATCTTGGGAACCAACTTTAACGATCATATGTCACAAAATTAGTCACAATATGCATACTAGATAGGCATTCAGAGGCCCCTTTTTATAATTGTGGAAACCAGGGCTAAGATGGGGAGAATGATTTTTATAAAATTCTTATTTCTGAGAAAATCCCTACCCGAACTTAGGGTCTTCTCCTGTTGGTACTGTGATACTTCTTAGGCTACAAATCCTCTCTGAAGTTTCTTCAGAGAAATTTTGTAACCCCTTCTCCTGAATAAGGTTGTCTTTATCTCCTGAATAAAGTAATGTGATAACTTTTGCCCTCTTACCTAATTTTCTTGATAAATCAACTTTTGGGGTAAGTCTGCAGTCAACAGTACACCTTCCTGTCTTTGTCTGATAGGGCAGTGGCTCCTAGACCTGGCCTTGCATGAGAATTATCTGGAGAGTCGTTAAAAAATACGTCCCAGGGCCCACATCCTAGGTCCCAGAACTTGTATTTTTTTAATGTTTGGTTTTGAAAAATTTTTTTTTAATTTTTGAGAGAGAGAGATAGAGACAGCGTGAGCAGGGGAGGGTCAGAGAGAGAGGGAGGCACAGAATCCGAAGCAGCCTCCAGGCCCTTAGCTAGCTGTCAGCACAGAGCCTGATGCAGGGCTCGAACCCACAAACCATGAGATCATGACCTGAGCTGAAGTCAGACGCTTAACCGACTGAGCCACCCGGGCGCCCCCAGAGCTTGTATTTTTAACATGAGCTCCAGGTGATCCTCATAAAGATGGTGCCTAGGCATTTGGGAACCACTGTGTGGAACGTGGAGATAAGACCAAAGGTAAATGGGAACAAGTGCCTGCTCCTGACCTCTCCTGTTTCTTACTGGATGAATGGTCCTGAAATCACACTCTGCACACTTAGTCCATGTGCCTCTGGCTCAAGGCACAAATGCAGACATATTTTTTTTCTCATTGTTTGGCTAACATTGTGCTTTCTGAAAAAGTTGATGTCAGAGTGAACAAAGATTTCACTTGCAACACTCAAACACTACAATCCTTCTCCTCTTAACTCTTCTGTACTCCCAGATGTGGACTGAAAAGTTTAACTCTCTAGAATTCGCCTCAAGAACTCTTTGAATCCCCCCCATCCCCCTCCCCCCGACAACAACATTTTGGATTGTGAGATGAGTGAGCGTTCTGGAGTCAGGTAGTCTGGGTTTGATTCAGATTCTGTTTGTTAGCATATTAGCCAAGTTGATTAAGGAGGATTCTAGACCTCAGTTTTCTCATCTGTCATATGGGGGTGACGATAACTTCCTTGGAAAGCTGTGTGGAGGTTAGACATAATGTATTTAAAACACCCAAGACAGTGTCTGGCCCTTATTGAGTTCTCAATAAATATTTAAAAATACATTTTAAAGATCATTGTAGATCACAAAGAAGGAAATTATGGCTTTGTGAAACTGTTTACTGAACAGCTTCTTCCTAAACGAAACACATGGATGTGACAGATGATATGCATCTTCAGCCATGGCTGAAGCAAATCTAAATCATTTGGCAATAAGTTAATTTCTCCAAATGTATGTTTCCCTGGCAGCAATTATTGGATCCCTCTCTCCTCTTCAATAGCACAGTCTAGAGTAGGTTTCCTTTAGTAACTTGTCTTCTTATTTGTTTCTTTTTTAAAAAACAATCTTATTGAAATATATTTGACATAGAGTATTACATTAGTTTTCGGTGCACAACATAGTCATTTGACAATTCTATACATTAACATTCACCACAATAAGTATAGTCACCATCTGTCACTATATGTTACTACGATATTATTGACTATATTCCCTATGCTCTACTACTCATCTCTGTGACTTAATTTATTTTATAACTGAAGTTTGTACTTCTTACTCCCCTTCACCTATTCCACCCAACTCCTCCAGCCACCTACCTGCTGGCAACCACCAAATTGTTCTCTATTCATGAATCTGTTTCTGTTTTTTTTGTTTGTTTGTTCATTTGTTTTGATTTTTAGATAACTGCAAATCAGTGGAATTATATGGTATTTGTCTTTCTCTGTCTGACTTATTTCACTTAGCATAATATGGTTACTATGCTCTAGGTTCCATCCATGTTGTCACAAATGGCAAGATCTCATTCTTTTTTTATGCTCTAGTAATATTCCATTGTATATAGATATCACATCTTTTTTATCTGTTCCTTTATTGATGGACGCTTAGGTGGCTTCCATATTTTGGCTGTTGTAAGTGATGCTTCAGGGATCATAGGCGTGCGTGTATCTTTTCACATTAGTATTTTCATTTTCTTTGAGTAGATACTCAGTAATAGAACTACTGGATCGTATGGTATTTCTATTTTTAATTTTTAGAAGAACCTCTACACTGTTTTCCACTGTGGTTATACCCATTACATTCCCACCAACAGTGCATGAGCATTACTTTTCTCCATATTCTCATCAACATTTGTTATTATAATCTTGTCTTTTTGATACTAGCTATTCCAACAGGTGTGAAGTGATAGCTCCTTGTGGTTTTGGTTTGTGTTTCTTTGATGATTAGTGATGTTGAACGTCTTTTCATGTGTCTGTTGGCCATTTGGATGTCTTCTTTGGAGGGATGCTATTCAGGTCCTCTGCCCATTTTTTCAACAGGTTATTTATTTATTTATTTATTTGGAGTTAACAGCTGTGAGTTCTTTATATATTTTGGATACTAACCGGACGTATTATTTGCAAATATCTTCAGTCTCATTCAGTAGGTTGCCTTTTTGTTTTGTTGATGCTTTTCTTTACTGTGCAAAAGGATTTTGTTTTGGTGTAGTCCCTATAGTTTATTTTGGCTTTTGTTTCCCTTGCCAGAGGAGACACATCTATAAATATGCTGCTAAGGCCCATGTCCAAGAGATTACTGCCTATGTTTTTGTCTAGGAGTGTTATGGTTTCAGGTCTCATAGTTAGCTCTTTAATCTGTTTTGAGTTTATTTTTGTGTATGGTGTAAGAAAGTGGTCTGGTTTCATTTTTTTACATGTACCTGTCCAGTTTCCCCAACATGAGTTATTAAAGAGATTGCCTTTTCTCCATTATGTGTTCTTGCCTCCTTTGTCATAGATTAATTGGCCATGTAAGCATGGGCTTATTTCTGGGCTATTCTGTTCTGTTGATCTATGTCTGTTTCTGTGCCAGTACCATACTGTTTTAATTAATATAGCTTTGTAGTATATCTTGAAATCTAGGGTTGTGATACCTTCAGCTTTGTTCTTCTTTCTCAAGATTGCTGTGGCTATACAGGGTCTTTGTAGGTTCATATCCATTTTAGGATTATTTGTTCTAGTGCTGTGAAAAATACTATTGGTATTTTGATAGCAGTTGCATTGATTTCGTAGATTGCTTTGGGTATTATGGACATTCTCTATTTGATTCTTTTTTTTCCCCGTCTGTTTGATTCTTAAAATGAATAGGAAATAAAAATAAAAGAAAAAATGGAGTCCTCATGTGGTCAGACCTTGATGTAGTCAGAGAATGGGCAGATAGCATGACCACACAAAGTCTTAAAAGTTCTGTATCAACGTATACAGGAGAGGTTAGGTAACCTCTTAGGTAAATCAAGAAAAAAACAGAACGCAAGTAACAAGTGCTTTCAGATGAGGCATCCTCATTCAGTTAGAATTCTGCCTTCATCACCTGACAGCTGGATGTCCCTGGGTCAGTTTTGTAACTTCTCTGAACCTCGCCTTCCTCAAATGAAGATAATAGTTTTAACTTAAAAGGGCTGTTGCAAATGTTAATTAAAATGGTGTGTATAAAGCCTTTATGTTTAATAGGTTCAGTAAATACTGAAGAATAAATAATTTAGTCATGACTTCAATATATACTATGGGATAAAATAACGTTAGGGTAAATGAGATGTCAGAAAATGAAATATAAATCCTAAACTAGGAGTTGCTGAACAGAATTTTAGCCTGCCCCACCACCACGTTTACTTATGTATAGAATTTCTCCCTCCTTAGGAATCAGGTTTGTAGTCCAGAACTTTATATTCATCTTGGATTAAAAAAATTTTTTTTAATTGAACATTTATTTATTTTTGAGAAACAGACAAAGCATGAGCAGGAGAGGGGCAGAGAGAAAGAAAGACACAGTATTTGAAGCAGGCTCCAGGCTCTAAGCTGTCGGCAGAGTCTGATGTGGGGCTTGAACCCATGAACCGTAAGATCATGACCTGGACCAAAGTCAGATGCTTAACCGATGGCATCCCCATCGGCATCCCCATCTTGGACTTTTAAGAACCATATCATTCATCTCTGTTTTCCTTAAAATGCAGGTGCGCCTATTATTTTATCTTTCCCACACTTCTACCAAGCAGATGAGAGGTTTGTTTCTGCCATAGACGGCATGCATCCAAATAAGGACTATCATGAGACATTTGCGGACATTAATCCTGTGAGTACACACATCTTCCTGGTAAAAAGCATACATTTTGTTCTGTCTACACAATGTTTACCAGTTTAGTCCCGAGCACTGTTAATATTCTGTCTTCCTTTCATATACATATTCAAATGGAGAAAACTCAGCTCAGTGCTTGTGATGCATAATCTCATGGCCTTACACGCTGAACTCAGTAGCTCTGATATGCAGAAATATCCACAAACCTGCTTTTACAGAAACACAACTGTAAAAAGCCTCTCACAGGAACAAATGAGATTGGACCCACATAGCCTCATGCCAGCCTTGGGCCTGAGCATACATTCAACTGGTGAACAACTCAGCAAGGTTGAGGACATTCTTCTGCTTACTGCCAGGAGTGTTTTGGCTAAAATTTAAATATACGTATTAGCTTCACTGACTTTTGGCAAGCCTCTTTCTACAAGCACTTTTGAGAGTTTATTGCATGATACTAGTAATTTAAAAGGCATTATATACACATATGCTTGAATCCTGTTTTCAAAGAGGAGAAAAACTAAAACCACAAGAAAGCCTCTTACTGTAGGAACCTAATTAAAGGCCAGGTATCTTCATTCTTGAGATTTTTGAACACATGGAATAGTAAAGAAAAAGCAAGAATGGTCATTGAGCATGGCAATGTGGACATTTCACTCTTCTATGTGAGAAATCAGTTGTCTTATCTTTTTGTGAATAATATTAGGTATTCCTCCCCACCCCCTTTTCTCTCTTAACCTTCAGTCAGTTCCTTCTCCCCAGCTGAACTGTCGGCAGGTGATTGTCACCAAGGGCTAGGCTTAGTCCTGTAACCTGAGTGCGGGGGTGAAACTGCTATGTAGGGAGATGGGTGCTGGCGCTGCTTTCCCAGCTTCGGTGGGGGTGGTCCTGTCCAAACTGGGCACCACTCTCTGGCTCACACCTTCCTCCTGCCAGGGTGCCCTAGGGTTTACTATCCAAAGTGGCAGCATCCTGGGCACGGCTAGAAAGACCCAATCTCAGGCTTCATTCCAGACCTACTGAATCATAATCTGCATATTCACAAGGTCCCCAAGAACTCACGTGCGGATTGAAGTTTGAGAAACAACAGTCTACCAAGCACCTAACCCCGTTCGCAGCTCTCATTCTGTTCTGGGGTCAGTTTTCTCTTGTCCCACTCTTCCTACCAAACATGGCACCCTGGTTATCAGCACCACACAGAAATGGTGCACTATTGAGAAACATTATGTGTTTTTAAGAAATCCTAATTTTTTTTTCCATATCTCTGATTTGCAGTTGACTGGAATTATTCTAAGAGCTGCCAAGAGGATCCAAATCAACGTTTATGTGAGAAAGTTTGACAACTTTGTGTAAGTTTTACTTCTTTCTACAGAGGCAAAGGATAGCTGTGCTGTATTGACTTTCTGATGGCGTTGATGTCAGGAGACAGCCCACTTTCTAAGTCTGCTCACCCTGCCCTTCAGGGATGAGGCATAATCAGCATTTTCTTTTTTCTTTTCTTTCTTTTTCTTTGTGGGTTTTTTTTTTTTTTTTTTTTTTGAGAGAGAATGCTAGTGGGCGAGGGGCAGAGAGAGGGGGACAGAGGATCTGAAACAGGCTCCGCACTGACAGCAGGGAGCTCGATTCAAGGCTCCAATTCATGGACCCTATGAGATCATGATCTGAGCTGAAGTCAGACACTCAGCCGACTGAGCCACCCAGGCGCCCCCAGAATCAGCATTTTCATAGGCTGCCTTGGTCTTGGAATTTACTTACTTTATTTAACCAAACACGTACAGAGTGCTTTCTATGGATCACACGTTGTTCTAAGTACTTTATATACAGTAACTCATTTATTCTTCACAGTAACCCTGCGTTACCCCCGTCTTACAGATGAGGAAACTAAGGCACAGAGAGGCGAAGTAAGACTACACAGTTTGTTCTTCCCCACTCTGTGCAATGTTTCCCTTGCCGTGACTCCAGTTGGCTCCTTTCCTGTCTTCCCACTGCTCCCACTCAGGACCAGCCATAGGCTCTCACTCGGGCAGTTAAAATAGGCTCCCGCGTCCAGTCTTTCCTCTCTCCACACTCCATCTGAAAAACACTACTTAATTAGGATTAGTAAATATAATATCCTGCTCAAACTTTCAATGGGAATTTTTTGGATATGAGACAATGCATATGACTTAATGTTAATGAAAAAACAAATTGCAAACCGGTATATGTCATGTATCTATTCTTTTTTTTTGCCTATCTATCTATCTATCTATCTATCTATCAAACTTGGTTGATTTCCCCCATCAGATTTGCCAGATTTAACCCCATATGTCACAGATCATTCTAGATCACATATGTGGTTTGCACGAATGCATTTTGCCACCCATGCATGTATTTCTGAGGCAGTCTTGTATAGTAGTTAAGATCTAGAGCCGTAGAATCAAAATGGAATTACAATCCTGACCTCACCTTTTCCTCCTGTGGGTCCTGGGTAAGTGACTCTGAGCCATAATTTCCATGTCTTCCAGCCTGGACAGTGATGCCACCACATGGGATTAGTGTGAGGATTAAATGAGATAGTGTCCCCCAAACACCAGCTGTCGGGCTGGTTCTTGGTAGAGTGCTCTGAGCTCTAGTGAAGACAGTACTTAGTGGTCTGGTCACAAAACATTCTGAGAAATGGTAGCATTGTTCTGCTGGCCATGGCCACGCCTCTGATAGCTCTTGGGAGAACAGTAATTGTTTTGATGAATTTGCTTTCATTATCTTGTGTTTTGATTAAAATAAAACAGCTTTACATACAGGGGCAACACTTGGAATTGTTAGGCTGACAGACTGGAATCTAACTTCTGATTGATGAGTGTTGCAAAGGGTAACAAAGAAGGCTTCATAAGTTCTGGGAAATTTAATGAAATGAGAGCGCTAGAATTTTTATACAAACTCGTCTTTCCAGGCCAGTGTGCTATCACAATAAGGATGTCTGCAAAATAATCTATATTTTGTCTTTTTAAATTGAGGCATAACTGACATACAACATATGAGCTTCAAGTATACAATATAATGATTCAATATTTGTATATATTGCAAAATGGTCACCACAATAAGTCTAGTTAACATCTGTCACCATACTTGGTATGGAATTTTTTTTTCTTGTAATGAGAACTTCTAATTTCTACTCTCTTTAGCAACTTTCAACTGGGCATTATAGTATTATTAACTATAGTTGCTGGGCTGTACATTACTTATTTTATAACTGGAAGTTTGAACCTTTTGACTCCTTATATCCATTTCTCCCACCCCCCAAGTTCCAACTCTGGCAACCACCGGTCTGCTCTCTGTGTCTGAGCTTGGTTTTTTGTTTTAGATTCTACATATAAGGGAGAATAAATAGTATTTGTCTTTCCCTGATTCATCTCACTTAGTGTAGTACCCTGAGGGTCCATTCATGTTGTCACAAATGGCAAGACTGCATCCTTTTATATGGCTGCATAGTATTCCAGTGCAACCATATACCATGTTTTCTTTACATAATTGTACATCAATGGACACTTTGGTTGTTTCCATATCTTGGCTACTGGAAAAAAATACTGCAGTGAACATAGGGGTACATATATCTTTTTGAATTAGGGTTTTCATTTTCTTTGGCTAAATACCCAGAAGTGGAATTGCTGGATCATATGATAGTTCTGTTTTTAATTTGTGAGGAATCTCTATACTGTTTGCCCTAGCGGCTGCACCAGTTGACATTCCATCAGCAGGGCACATGGCTTCCTTTTCATCCACATCCATACCAACATTACTGCCTTTGGCTTTTTGATAATACCCATTCTAACAGGTATGATGTGTTTGATAGCTCATTGTGATTTTGATTTGTCACCTCTTGTCTTCATAGTGAAACGGGAAACATTCAAACCATGGTTTTCCCAGTGATGCATATCAATGAGGTAAGTCCTGGGAGGGAGCCGTGGGTACGTTTTACTTGTGGAAGCTTGGGAAACTTCCATTATGATGTCGACTATTATAGCTATGTGATTTAAGATGCAAGAAAGGGGAAAAGGTGATTTTTAAGAACCTGTTTGTTCTCAGAAAATTTCTCTTTATATGTTGACACGAAGCTGCCTGTGTTTGAGATTTGAAAATGACAGAACAAAAATTTCCCTTCTCAAGAACATTATTTGGTAAAACTCTCCTTTGGGAATCTGGTTATGTAAGAAAAGGCAAAGGTGAATGAAGCAATGTCAGACACTGCTGAAGCAGAAGAAGTAGCCAACACTCACACAGATGTCCAGTTAAACCTTTCTTTGCATCTCCTCCATCTTTGAACCCCTGCCAGTTTGTAAAATGTAATCAGTTTACCATTTATTAGTAAAGGAAGAAGAGAAGAGAGTAAAATTAAAATGATTGGCAACGTTACATGAAACTTTTAAGTATAAAGTGATTAAAGAAATGAGTGAATAAAATGTGATACATCCTCATTAATTTTGATGATATATGGTTGCCTTATCTTTTATGATAGCATAGAAGTTGTTTTTTGTTTTGTTTTGTTTACTTTCTGATAAACACACATATCATGAATTATGGGACACAGATCCTGTCTTAAATTTATTATTATTATTTTTTTAGTGTTTATTTTTGAGACAGACAGAGACAGAGTGTGAGTGGGGGAGGAGCAGAGAGAGAGGGAGACACAGATTCTGAATCAGGCTCCAGGCTCTGAGCTATCAGCACAGAGCCCAATGCGGGGCTCACACTCACGAACTGTGAGATCGTCACCTGAGCCGAAGTAGGACGCTTAACCAACTGAGCCACCCAGGGGCCCCGACACAGATCCTGTGTTAGTTCAAAGAAAGAAGAGTTCCCTGAAGAAATATTTCTTTCTTTCACATTGTACTCACAGAAATTTTATCAGTAAACATTAAGTATAAATTAAAGTTTTGTAAATAAAAACATATTTGGAAAGCTCAGAAAACACCTATTTAGGACACCTGTGATAAATTCTTTATGAATCACATACATTTACTATAGTTCTACCTCCTCAATTTCTCTCTCTCTTCCACTCAGTTTTGAGAGGGTTCATGCAGGGGGTTTTCCTCTCCAATAAATTCAATCAAGAATTTATTGGAGCTATTACCTCTGTTGTTAATAGGAGCAACTTTAAGTTTTTATTATTTTTCTCTGTTCCCTAAAAAAATCTTGTTCTGTATAGAAAATTTGGTAACAGAGATTGGCAAGAAAAAAGAAAATTAAAGTGACTTTCACAAAACCTGAGTCAGAATGACATTGTTCTTGTTTCGTTGTACTCGAAAGTGTATTGCAAAATTGTCTCCGATAAGAACTCTGTAAAAAGTAATTTAATGTTTCACACTTTGTAAAACTAACATGTGCTCTTTACAGAGCATTTGGAAAACTAAAAATACATATTTTAAAAGTGAATCGCCAAACAAATACTGAATCATTGTGTTGTACACCCAAAACTAATATATTGTTATATGTCAATTTTACTTCAGTTTAAAAAAATTTTTTTTAATATTAACAACTGAATCAGTGATAAACTGCCCCTCAGAGACAAGTACAGTTGACATCTGCTTATGTTGTCGCTTAATATTTTTCTAGTTTTGATATTAAATAGTTAAGACCATAATGCAGATACAGTTTTATAACCTGTTTTTTTCATTTGGCATTACTTTGGTAGCCACATTTAAAAATTTTTGAAGGGCTTGTGATTACAATTCTAAGACACGGCTGTTATTGTTTCATAGGAAAAATTTAGGCAATATTTACCAATTTATATGATCTATTTGCAATTGCTTCTGGGTCTTCACTCTTATTGTTTGTGGAGAGGGACATGAAAGAAGGGCTTTTGTTTTAAATTTTTAAAAATATTTTATTTATTTTTGAGAGACAGAACATGAACAGGGGAGGGGCAGAGAGAGAGAGAGAGAGACAGAATCTGAAGCAGGCTCCAGGCTCTGAGCTGTCAGCACAGAGCCCAACACGTGGCTTGAACCCACGAACTGTAAGATCATGACCTGAGCCAAAGTCAGATGCTTAACCACCTGAGCCACCAATGCGTCCCAGTGAGCTTCCTCCAATGAGGAAGGACCCTGTGCTGCCAGCTTATGTTTATAGTTGTGGCATATTTGAACTCCCCTCTAACTCAACCTTTGCTTTGCTTAGCTCTCTTGTTAAAGACCATATTGAGTCCAGGGAATTATGGACTAAAACCTTGTACTTTTGGTACCTCCTAAAAAGAACTTGACTTTATCCCAAGAAAAGAAAACATTATACCTTGAAGTGACTTTGGAGACTACTCTCCCACCTTCTTTTTCCAGAGAAGGAGACTCTGACTCTGATGGGTCTTGGCCCATTATTGGAAGTACCAGCTCTAGAAACCCATCCTCTGCCTCAGTCCAGTGTGGTTTCAGCCTAAATTAAGCCTGAAGTCCCATTTTTTGTTCATACTTTTTATGAAATTAAGTTCTTCAGACACCCAACCCATGACAGTTTAAGGAGATAATATCTTTGTTCTGTCTGCATCCATAAAGTGTTATTCTAGAACTTTTTCTTGGTTATCAACACCTTCTGGAACTCTGGTGAGCCTCACGACGTCCCTGAACACTTTCTATTGAGACCTCTGGTCTTGATTACTAGAGATTTAATCAAGACAGTAATTCTACCTTCCACATACCATTGTTGGAATGTTTCGTTCACTCAATCAACTGACGTTAATTCAGTACCCACTGCATGCAGAGTGCCATTCCTAATGTTGAGGTGACTGAGATGTAAGTCTTGCCGTTGGGAACCTCACAGTCACAAGGAGACCAGACAGACAGTTATAATGCAGAGTGCGTAGTGATGGGGGATTTTAAGGAGTGATATGGAAGCGCAGTAAAGGGACCTCTAACCAGGTCTGAGGTAGCCAGAGGAAACTTGTGGATGGAAGTGATGCTGAGCTGGAATTTTAAAGGATGAGTTGGAGTTGTCTGATACAAAAGATGGTACTCTCTCATTATTTTTCAATATTTTTTCCCTACTATTTTCAGCCTATTTTGAAAGTAAGACATGTCTTCAGGAAAAAAAAAAAAAAAAAAAAAGGAAGATGTTAAGAAATGCCCCCTCTGGGTATCTAATTTATAAATGGGGTTTTCAGTATCTCTGGTTAGCTAACAGGAAAACTTACCCAAATTATGTTTAATGATTTAGAAGAAAGATACAGCAAAACCTTTACACCCTGGATATTTAGTAATCTGGGGAATACATTTTCTTGCCTTCCAGAGTGTTCTCATTGATAAAGAGGCTGCGAGTCGACTGAAGTCTGTGATAAACACTACTTTGATCATTACCAACATACCCTACATTATCATGGCGCTGGGTGTGTTGTTTGGTTTGATCTTCACCTGGCTTGCATGCAGAGGACAAGGATCCATGGATGAGGTGAGCAGGGGCAGGAGGAACTTCTCTTTTACTGGGTGACCTTACCTGAGGAAGCCAACTGTGCTTCGCCGAAGGGCTGTCAACAGGCTGGTTCATCAGGGTGGATTCTGAGGTTTTATGCTGGGCACAGTGATTTCCTGGTTATATTACTACTAAGCCAAATGAGATGCAAGGGCAGTGTGTCAGAGAAAGAGGGGTAATGAAACGGTATCTGGAAAGTGGGATAATAAGTGAGCCTCCCTTAGTAGTTTTTCATGAGGATTAGATGATACAGTAAAGAGAAAGCAATTGGCCCAGTATTAGCATTTACGGTAAGAACTCAATAAACATTAATTATGTGATGCAACAATTACGAGATTATAGAGCAAGGCAACCAGAGACCTGCTTGGAAAGAATCCGTAATATATCCATCACTCAGTCATCATTGGATAAGAAACGATTGGCCCAGCAGAGCAGTAACTTTCCACAGAGAAGGGAACATCACCAAATGGTTGGGATAAACAGAGTTAGGCTGGCTTCCCTAAGTGACCATCAGGCCAACCCAGCTCAACCTTCAATGTCTTTCCTGTGAGAGCCTTTCTTAAATTTTCAGCAGCTTCCCTTTTTGCAACAAAGGCTCCTCTCCACCCCCAGCTGCTTCAGCTGCGTGTCTGAAGCAAATGTGATGTAGGAAATGAAATGGGTTGAAACCATCTGAGTAATGTTACCTCAGATTTCTCCGGGTTCTACATTCTTCCACTGTTTCTCTTAACCTATGCCCATCAGGCTAGTGGGAATTAGGTATGAGGCAATTATTTTGGCATTTCTAGCTTTGGATCTCACTTCCAGTCTGACTTTATACAGTCACTGAGATTTTCACAAGCACAGGTGAAAGCCCGTGTAAATGTTATCATTGCTCCTGTGTTGAACCATTTTCATGGATTCAGCAAGTGGGCAATGACTGAGCGCCCACCGCTCTGAGACATTGTTCTCTGGTAGGTTTCAAACCAGGAAGGAGCAAATTCAACGGAGTCTGATGAGAGTTATAGCCCGGGTCAACACAGGGACGGGTACTGCTCTGGTATCAAGGGTGCGGGTGGTCAGAGCAGGCTTCTTCAAGGTCAGGGCTGAATGGGAAAGAAGAGGCAGGCCGAGAAAGAGAGCTGAGTGTGACAACTGGCCTCCTTTCAGTGTCTCCTCCGTCCATCTTTCTCTGGCACCCTGTCCCCCAACTTTTCTCATCCTGGGAGAAATTTCTGATGTGAATACCTGACTCCTGACGTTGCTGTCCTTCTCTTCTGAGTCTCAGGGAACTGCAGATGAAAGAGCACCCCTCATACGAACCTAACTGTGGCCTGAGCTTGGGAAAGGAACCATGTGAGCTGTCCTCACCTGGACCACAATGTGCGGAAACTATCCATGTCTTCACGGGCATGGTGCCTGCTGCAGAGAGGAGGGAGGAAACCCCGTGCTGGCAAGTGACGAGAACATTCTGGCAGGAGGTTAAAGAACAGACTGACGTGGTTGGCCATTAGGCTTTATAAAATTGTTTTGTTTTTCATGTGTCTAGCAAGTATTTAATAAACTCTTGTATAGTAATTTTTTTTGCTGTTGGGTGCTGGTAGCTCCAGAATTTTGTGACCACTGTTGTGGTTGAAATGTGTCTGCATCACTTGTTAATGTCCTTGGTCTAACCTTATTCAGTATGCTTCATTTACCAAACTTTGTGCTCAAAATATATAAATCTTCTTTTATGTGGCATTCCCCCATTCATTTCACCCCCCAACAGAAGTCAATAAGAGTTCGGAACCCAGGGTAAAATAGTAGCCTCATTCAATACATCACTAAAATGCATCTGAATTTCCCTTTTTAAAAAGTTACATGATCATATTTCGTATGCTAGCCTTCAGTTCATAATTCCTCCAGGAAAGTAATTCAATCTTTTGACTACTTTCAAACTGTCTGGGAACCAAGCAGGGAAGGGGTGGGGTGGGCTGAGGTATGCAGTGGGACCTCAAGTTGATTATGCAGGATAACCCTCAAGTTGATTGATAGTGATAAGCACCTGAGGATTTTTTACTCGTACCTTTGTGAATGGAGAGAATGCACAGATTATGTTGGTGAGGACAAGTACAGATATTTCATAGGAGTAGAAGTAAATGCTAGTTATGACCTTTGTGAGTAGTTTGTTGTTTTTTTAATCAGAAGCATCTCGATGTGGAAAGGTGCTTCTGGGAGGAATCATCAGTAACTGATTTTTTCCTCCAGTCACCCTTGCCAAACTTGATACTCTATTAATTTGCAATATTATTGCGAGACTTTGTAAAATTATTTATGAATATGAGAACTCCATCCATCCACAGCCTGTTACACATACATTTTGGGAAGTCTGACTGCACTAACAAGATGTTTCTTCTGGGGAAGTCTCCTTGGGAACTTTGAAATTGTTTTTGTAAGTTGTTTTTCTTTCCTCACATTTGGTCTCTTCCAGTGTTCTGTGGGTCACTGTCACTTACTGAAGAGAGAAAAACGTGCCCTACACTTCCTGTGACAATCATTTTGCTGACAGAATGAATGATGGTGTTTTAAAATATTGCACAAAAAATGCTTTAACGGAAGCTCCAGAAGCATTGTCTTCTCCTCAGAAGACCTCTTGACTTTGAATGAACCCTAAGTCAGTCAGATTGGACCACCATATGTCACAAAATCCAAGCCCGTTTAAGAGCATTTTCTTTGACTAGTGAAGTTCACCATTCATTTTTGATCAGGAAACCTACATAGTTATCCAGCAAAAAGCACATAGAATTTCTTAACAACTGAATCATCTTATAGGATTTTCTGTATAAAACTGGAGTTTAACATAAGCAAATGAAGAAAAAAGCCATGCGTTTCACAAATAACAGCTGCTGATCCCTGTATAGAGATAATAAATCCCATCACTTGCCCCAATTTCCTTCCCTGTACACTAAAGCAACATGTGATATATTCCCTTCTTGAAGGGGCAGTTCATTAAACATTCACCTTCTCTATAAATTAGGATAGAATCTGTTAATATCCCAAATCACCAAAATGTAAAACACTGAATTGCAGATATTCTGTCAATAATACCAAACATCTAGATTTGTAAATTGTATCAATATTTAACTATGTAATTGGCACACCTTATTCTTTAATGCACTCACTTACCCACATATAAGCCAGTGCATATTTATTGGTTCATCTGATTATCAGGATATAGTCACTTGTGAGGAGGAAATTTTTAAATACTAGGAATGGTAACAGGTGATGTACACTTTAGACTGAATCCCACACAGGTGAGGAGACCAAATGCATATTAACTTCCATACAATTCTGAATAGTCATTTGGCTTAAAATCACATTTGATATCATCTTTCTGAAAAATCTGTGGCAAACCCATAAACTGCAGCCAAGATTATATAGATTGATTAAGAACTAATGTACATATTTGGTCTTAGGTTGAAAATAACAAGCTATTCCTCATGCTTATACTCTTGGAGCCATTATTCTGGAAAGGCCCCCAAAGTCTTTGTGATCGTCATAATCCAGAATATGTATTGGATATGGTACTATTATACTCACCAGGGAGAAACCAGAGAGAGGTTACCTCATTTCTCCTGGGGAAAATTGGGAATTGAACACAGGACAGGAAATGGGCCTTGCCACTTTTAGCTCAAGGCTTTTCCTACTTGACTTTATTTTCTCATGTTCTAGAAAGATCACTAACGGTCAAGTGGAGCAAGTACTATATGACTAACCCCTATTGGGGTTTTTACTTAAGGGAGGCTAGGTTTTTGTTTTGTTTTGTTTTGTTTCGTTTTAATTTAAATTGCTCGAGCTATGAGTTCTACAAAAGGTGACCTTCACACTTGGCCCTCTGGGCATTATTACTAGAATTAATTGCTTGTGGCTATTAAACAGAATACTGACCAGACCGTTCTTCATGTAGCTTCAGTAGTTGATTCGTTTCATGTGATTCTTGACATGCTTATTTCTACCCTTAATGCAATGAAGTATTTCACTAATAAAACTGTTCATATGAAATTGCACTGGAAATTGTTATGTCATCAGATGACCAGTTGTCTCTGGAGTTTCCTTTTTTTGTTGTCATTGTTTTTAATTTCAGAGAGAGAGAGAGTGGGAGAGAGGGTCAGAAGGAGAGAGAGAATCCTGAGCAGGCTCCACTTTTAGCACAGAGCTTGATGCAGGGCTCGATCCCATGACCCAAGTCAGAATGCAGAGCCAGATGATCAATTGACTGAGCCACTCATGTTCCCCTGGGGTTTCATTTGAAAGATGCTCTTTGCCCTCTTGACAAATGCAGGCCTGAGTCTCCCTTCTTGGGCCACTTGTGATTTCTGTTCAGCTGTGGTGAACAGTTCTATGCAGCCTGACAAGTCGCACTTGAAGGGAGTCCCACACTGTGCTCCTCTGCCCCAGGGCTTTCTCCAGAGCTCTGGAAGCCCCTCAAGAGCTCTGGGGGGTTAATAGGCCCAGGTATTGACCCTCAACTAAAGGGAGTAGAAGTCAGCTGATATATACTCCAATCAGAGGGACAGTTCTCAGGCTCATTCTAGGTGGTTCCCCAACTAGGATTGCTCACAGTATGAACTCCTTCCCATTATCCTTTCTTCTTTCCCTGTGTCACTGTCTCCATCCTCTTAACTGCTGCTTCCTCCCAAATAACCCACTTGTACAAACATTCTTACTCAGGCCTGCTCTCAGGTAAACACACACTAAATGCATACCAGTCTACCCAGAAGGGCCCAGCAGGGCCAGAGAGCTATGGGAGAGATCCTGGACCTTTGTTTCTATAGACATTTGTCCCAAAATGATTAGCCCCCCAAAATAGACTACCTTTAAAACCTTTCCCATCCCAGTAATACTGCATCTTATTTCTGGACTCAGAGCAAATCCAGATCAGCCATCACATAGCTAGCTCAGTGTTACAAACGTCATTATGTATTGAGGACACTTGATCCCTAGCATGTGTGCTTTCAAGGAATCCCAAATCTAAAACAGTATGGAGGTGACAATAAACTATTTGTAAAATATATATATATATATATATATATATATA